TGGCGCGGGGTGCAGCGGCGGCACGCGCAGTGCGGCTCAGCCAAGGTGCGGAGGTCAGTGTCTGAGAACGCCTCGCTCTGCACAAAGCGGGCGCGTCTCTCCGCGCTGACGTCATCGACGTCATCCAGTGCAGCGAGCACGCCGCAGCTGGCCTGGCCGGCCGTGTCTCGCCGAGGCAGCTGTGCCGCATCGGTGCGAGGCGGAGTCGGGGCCGTAGGGGCTGCCGCGGGTGGCCGACGACCGCCGCCTGATCGCGGTGTGGCTGTGCTGCCCGCCGTCAAGTAGGCCCCCTTGCCTCTTTGAATTCGCGGCGCGTAAGTGGCCCGATCTGGCGAGTCTGGCGACGACGACGTTGTGGCTCGGCGGAGGCCTCCCCTCCTTGTTCCACACGCGACGCCCGTGTGTGTGTGTGGAGGGTGTGCGGGGGCAGGGGGATCTGCTGGAAGGCCTGGAAGGTCGACCTGGTCGCAGCGCAGCCAGGCCCGACCCGACGGGGGCCAGACACAGCCAGACAGGGCGGACCATCACATGTTGCCGGCTCGAAGGCCCGAAGCCCCGGTCGGCGGGGCCGCCTGCTGCTCCGCGCTCCGCTCGAAATAAGATAAATAACAAGACGCGCGTAAAAGCGAAAAGTCTGGCGCGCCGAGGGGGCTTTTCGAAACGGCACCGGGGAGTGAGGGGTGGCGGTCCGTGCGTACGGCCGTGTGTCTGGCCGGAAGCTCACGCTGCTCGTCTGGGGCCGTTGAACCGGCGTGCGCGTCTTCTAGGGTGTCCACTATCGGCGCCGCGTGGTGCTGGTGGTGGTGGCAACTGTACAGCGGGCTCGTTTGGGGGCGCGCCGGATAGTTGGTGGATAATCGGAGCGACCGGAACGGGAATGGGACTCGGCGCGTCGCTCAGCGTGATGAAGATCTCCCCCTTCCCCCTCCCCCTTCCCATTAGTAGGTAGGGGTCATCCCCGACGCCACCACCTAGCCAGTCTAGCCAGCCAGCCTTTGTTGTGTGAGACTGGCGAGCCAGAACCCCCACTCCCCCTGCTTCTTTGTGTCTGGCCGGCGGTGCAGCAGCACTGGTGCAGCACTGGTGCAGCCAGCGGAGGGGATAGAGCGCCGCCGCCTCCACGAGGTGCATCGGGGCATTGCAGCTGGTGCATTGGGACACGCGGCGCTGCTGCAGCTGCCGAGAGTGAAAGGAAAGGCCGAAGGGTGCTGCAGCTCTGCAGCTGCACCAGCCGAGCCAGCCGGGCGGTGCAGGCGGAGCCGTCAAGGTCTCTCTCTCCCTCCCCGCGGCGCCCCTCTCCCGGTGCAGCGCGCTGGTTGGCCCCGCAGTCTGGCTTCCGGGGGGCTCGCCGTCGACGGCGGCCATGCTGGGCCGTGCTGGTCGCGCTGCTGCAGCTGCCTAGACTCCAGCCTAGTCTGGCGCGGCGCAGACACTGGCGGGCCCGCTTTGTCTGAAGGGGCTGGCTGGTGCGTCGCGTGGCGTGGCGTTGATACGAGCCTGGGTGAGCCCGTTACGCGGTGTGGCGCCAACGGTAAAGGCCGCACGTGCGCACGCGGCGTACGCGCCCCGACGGCCTGCCTGCGCGTTATCTCGGCCGGCGTGGCCGCGGGCTGATAAGGACAGGACTGCCGTGATTGGGGCGGGGCTGTTGTTGTTGTTGTCGTCGGAGCCCCCGACGGGTACCTCGACGGTAGGCAAAGCAGGCGGCCCTCGCGCCTTCTCGCGCGCTGTGCTCCCTGGTCGGTCCTGGTCGGTCCGGCTTCGGAAGTGGGCCACCGCAGGCCCCCGCCTCCTCGGCTCGCCGTGCCCGCCGTCGTGGGCGTGATGCACCTTGCCTACGTGCCGGCGCGCACGGGGCAGACTCGCTCCGCGCTGCGTGTGATATCACCGCCGAGCGGGTTACAACTATACCGGCTGACTGGAGCGCGGAGCGGTGGCGGGGCGGTGGGGCCGTGGAGCGGCGCGCACGGAGACCGAGAGAAACTCGTTGTTCTCGCCGCCGACCTTGATTTGGTTTGTCGTGCTTCGCTCTGTGGGTCGTGCCGCGTGATTAGATTGTGGGCACGCGTGCGTCGAGCGTCGCGACACGGCCGAGTCCAGCCGCCGAACTTGACGCACGTTGTCGCCGTGACACGTGTGTGAGAGAGAGAGACGTGCACGTGTGCGCACTTGGCGAGCTTCGCGCTTCGCCCTGCAGGCCGACTCCGAACAGTGCTGTAGCAGTCTCCCTCGCTCTCCATGTGCCACTCCAGTGCGAGAGAGACGAGTGACAGAAACGCCGTTCGGGGTCAGTCAGCAGGTGTCACACTGTGTTGCTGGGTAGGAAGGGTGGGCCTGGTGGGCCGGTGAGGTGCTGGAGCCTGGCCGGCCACCTGGCCGCGTGCACTATCGTCGCACAGCGCGCACAGCCCCCTGCTTCCTGGCGGCCTTTCTGATGCAACTGTCGCGCCTCCAGGGGGATTTCGGCGTTGACTGTCGTCTGCTCGCTCCAACCCTTTGTCTCGGCCGAGCAAGGCGGACTGGTTCTCGGTTCACCTGACTGGCCGCGCTGGCTGCAGGCTGGCTGCCATGCATCGACTCCCTCCTCTCCTCGAGTATGCATGCAAGCAAGCGGCGGGTGCCCCGTCGTCCCCGCCTCACTCCGCGGCCCCCGCTCGGGGTGGGACCGACTTGGTGGTGGGACAGCTTCGCCTCGCCGGTCTTATGAGGAGGCGTGTGGCTGGCGTGCTCGGCGGAGGGGAAGGGACGGGGGGACGCCTTGCCGCCTTGCCTTCTGGTGTAAACAAGCCCCCCTCGCTGTCTGTCCGGCCGGGAACGGCACAGGGCCCACAGGGGGGCCGTTTTGGACCAGCTTCAAAACACGCACACACTGACACTCGGTCGGATCGGGTTGGCACAGTCGTTGCGACGGCCGAGGCGACGGCCCGAAGGTGCCCGAAGGCCGGGCGACCCAGGGCAGGACAGGGTTGGCAGACCAGCAGGGCCGCCTCTCCCGCCACTATGTGCGCGACATCGAGTAAATAAATAAAGTGGCTGATGTGTGTACGCGCCTGACCCGAGGAGGTCGTTCGCGAATAGCGCTTCGCGAGCGTATTATCTCCGCTGTTTTTTGCCGATCTGGCTTATCCACAGAGTGTGTGAGTGAGAGGGAGAGGGGTAAATGACCCCTCACACGCGGCCCGCGACCCGAATGTCCTCCATCGCGTCGCCCCATCGGGGTGTGGGGTGGAGTGGCACAGAGTGCACAGTGTGACCCGGTAGTGCTGCGCGGCCTCTGGCTCGTCCTGGCTGCGGCGGTGCGGCACCATGGCGGCACTGCAGTGGGGCGTCGGTGCGTCGCTCGGCGAGTGGGGCCATGGCGGGCCATGGGAGAAGGGCGGCGGGGAGAGGGGCGCACGGCGGTACGTACGCAAGGCCGTCCGTGGCGGTGCAGCGCGGTGCAGCGGTTGCAGCGGTTGCCCCTTCCCTTCCCTTTCCCCCCTCCTCGCTGCACCGCGCTGCTGTTGGCGCTGCATCGCTTTACACTCCTTTGTCCGGGCCGACCGACGCCATGCGCGCCATGCCGCCATGCAGCTGCGGCTTGCCGTTTCTGCGTGCGTTAGGACTGACTCCGAACAGTCGCTCTGTCTCTGAGCGGGCACGCACCCACGCTTGCGGCGCTAGGTGCGTTAGGTGCGCCGAGAGCGGCCCCGGGGAGGAGGACCTCGTCGTGGACGGGGTTCGGCTTGTTCGGCTGGAGCGCGGCCCGGCGCAGGACCGCGCGCTGCTGCTGCTTGGAGCCCACTTTCACTTACTTGGCCGCGGCCTGGCGCATTAGAAAGTGCGGCTTGCTTCGTTTGTCCGTACGGCCGTACGGCCCAAGTGCCGAAACGGATGGAGCGGGGGCGGCGATGAGGCCGTGCCGGGGCAAGCCGCGACAAGCCGGCGGCTCGAAAATACCCAAGCGATCGGCGCGGCGCTCGGGGGAAGCACGGGTCTGGTGGTTGTGGGCAACCTCCTCAGGAACCTGCACCGGAAGCGGCGCGCGTCGCGACACCTTGGAAGGGGCGTGGGCCTCCTCGCCAGACGCCCTGAACTTGGTCGCTGCACCGCGCTGGCGGCGCTGCCTGTTATGTCAGGGTCATGCCGGAAGTGCAAAGGCACGCCAGCGTGCCGCCGGGCTGGCTGGACGGGACGCTGGACCGGGGGTGACGGGACGGGTACGACGGCGCCTCCGGGAGAGGGGGGAGTGGCGGGGCAGCTCGGCAGCGACGGCAGCGACAGCCCGGCGGGTAGGCAACCGTGCTGCACGCCTCCGCGCCGGGTTGCCTACCCGCCGGGCAGACGGGCCTCGGACAGCTTCGGGCGAGGCCAGGCGAGGCGACACAGGTGCGCCCGTCCTGCTTGTCCAGCTCCAGCACTCCGCCGGTGCACCGCAGTGCACCACCGCGGCCACAATGCTAGAGACGAGCGCAGCAGTGTGGGGGCTGCGTGCAGCCGGGGCCTGTGTCTGGACGCTGGCCGGGCTGCACCGGAGCCGAGCCCGGGCAGAGCGGAGCCGTCTGGACAATGCCGCGGCGGGGCTAGGCGGGGCCGCGGGGCGAGACGGCGGGGTTGCCAGAGGTAGCCAGAGGTGGTCCCGGCTGGAATCTGGCACTCGGGGAGTTCGTTGCCGCCTCAAGGCTGTCCCCGTACCGCGAGTGGTGCGCGAGCTACGAGCTGCGCGACGGCGGGGTGGCGGCCAAGCCGAAGGCCCGAAGGCAGACCCCGCACCGCTGTGTGCGCGGTGCGCGGTTAGGCCTCGGCGGGCCGTGGGTCAATGAAACTTGGGCCGCGAGCCGGCAACAGCGCCGAACCGCGCCGAGCGCCGCGGTCGGGCGTCGCGCCCGCGGACCACCCCCCCGCGGCCCCCGCCTCACCCCTGGCCGCGGTCTGCCGCGGGCCGAGCGCCGTTCGGCTCCCTTCGGCGGCGTTCGGGGCCTTCGGGACGTTGTCGTCGACGGCCAGCAGCCCCGGCCCCGGCCCGCCCTGCCGACACGAAGCCGACGACTGGTGCGCGTTTTGGTGCTGTGAGGCAAAGCGTCAACAAAGACGGCTTGCTTTGCGTCAAGCTGCGTCATTGAACGGTGTTTTAACGCGCGGTTGATCGTCGCCGAGGGCCTGCCCGTCGGTTGCAGCGTGTCCAGGACCGTCGTCCGGTGGTTTCCTGCTGTGCGCGTCAGTGTTTAGTGATCTGTGCGCCCCGCGAGAGAGAGCCTGTGTGGACTACGTGATCCCAGGGCACCACGGCGGTGGGTGACATGTTCTTGAAAGAGCACGGCGAATCCCGGTGGACGATCGTCACTTGTGAACCTTTAAGGACAAACTGTGTGTGGGGTTAGTGGTTGCCGCGAAGGTGCCGTCGAAGGTGCAGTCCGATCCTGTTCTACTCCGTGCTGAGGTGCGTACCGACCGTCACTCGCAATGGCGGCCCGTGGCTTGGAATGGCGGCCGCCGCGTCGCCCTGGCACAAGTCGCTCTGGCACTCGGCGACGCCGTGGCGCCTCCGCCTGGAGGCGACGGCAACGTGACGACGACCTGGGGGCCGTGACACCGTGCCGCGGGGGTGGACGCCTTGCCCGTCGTGGCAATGTCTCAGCCTGTCACTGTCACGGCCGTGCTGTCGGCTTGCCGGCCTCAGACGGCGTCATGGATGGCGTGCCCAGGACACTCAGGACCTGGAAGGATGCTTTCCCGGAGCAGGCAGGGCGATGCAGCGGTGCAGCTCAGGGTCCTCTCGATGGCCCTCGTCAGCCAGTCCGAGGTTGCCTCGCCGGCTGAAGAAAGTCGAGTGTCAGATTGGCGATGCTTTGGGGCGTCATGTCACTGGGGAAAGCAGTGCCGCTGAATGGTGAATGGTGCCGTCCCGGTGGTTCGTTGTCAATGGCAATGTATTTTTAGCCAGCCTTGTTTTGCTCTTGGATTTGCGCTCAAATACTTCACTGCAACATGTTGCAGCTAATGTCAACAGCTGGTGTCAGTTTAGGTGTGCTTTCTGTGCCTTGTGAAGATATTTTAGGTTTAGCCACACTTCCATCTAATCTTTGTATTTTCATGATTTTTTTTATCCAGTGCATTACTACGATGGATATTGACACTTTGGGGTTGATGTCATTGACCATTTTGTTCTCTCTATGTTCTTTAAAATGAGTTCGTCATCCATAAATTTACATTTCTCCTGTTTTTCTCCCTTTTACAGATAATTTAGTGACCAGTTCACCATAGCACCGTAAAAATGTTCAGTTTCCATAAACCTAAGGTTTACCGGTCATCAGCAGGCTGTTGCATTTGCAAAGCCAAGTCAAGCAGGTCAGTCGGTTTTTATCTTACCTCAATTCTCTTGAATTTAACAAAAGAAACCCTTTTCCAAACCGATATATTTACCCTTGTCTTTGTTTTTCTTTTCTGCTTTAGCTCCCGGTTCACAGACAGCAAGAAATATGAGGAGGATTTCATGGAATGCTTTCGTCTACCAGAACGTCGTTCAGGTGAAATCTGCAATGCCTGTGTCTTGCTGGTGAAACGCTGGAAAAAGCTTCCTCCAGACAGTGAAAGAAATTGGCGCCATGTAAGATTTGTTTATTCAAGAGCTAACTATGAGATCATCAATAATGTGTTTGCATTGCCGTAACGTGCCACGTTTTGTCCTAAAGGTTGTGGATGCTCGTGCCGGTCCTGGTACCAAGTCTCTGACTAAATTCAAAGCTAAGAACAAAAAAAAGAAGCTGAAGGCTGAAGGCTCCAAGAAGCTGGAAAGTGTCAAGAAGAAGCATGTTTATGTTAAAAGTGCCGATAGGGACCGCAGTCCTGCAACTTTCAGTGATGGTGGTATGTTCTGTTTCTTTTTTTATATTCATCTAATAACTTTTATGATTTATTGTGACTCATTTTATTGTATTACATTGCAGAAGAAATGGAGGAAAATGGCTTCAGTGGCCCTCCGAGCTTGGCCCCCAGCCCTACCCCTAGTGAAGATGGGGATGTTGCTATCCCAACTGTGAAGAAAAGGCGGAACAGGTCTCGTTCCCCACAACACAAATCCAGCTTAAAACACCGTTCGTCTCCTCAAATCAGTGGATTTCTTGACATGAAAATCTGGAAGAGGTTGGTTAATGTTTTGTTGTTTGTCTTTTATTACTCAATTTGACATTTGATTTATCTCTAACTCTTCTTAAACCCTGACTCTGCTGTGTTTCAGGATAAAAATTTGCTGTGGGATTATCTTCCAAGGACCTAATGGAGAAATTGTCAAGGACCCGAGGTTCTACAAACCATGCGCAGCCACAGCACGTGTGAAGGAAGAGCCGCAACTGATAACTGAAGAAGTTGTACAAGAAGAGATTCCAATGGATATTGTCGAGCACAAGCCTGTAATTGAGCAGCCAGCACAGCAGGTAGATCTTCAGCTGCCGCCCCCACTGCCTGTTTCAGTACTGGCCGCCGCGTCACCTGAAGGCTCCCCTCAACAATCTCCTCACCGGTCACCAATCCCGTTATTACCTGCGCCTCAGCCTTTGCCTTTGGCGTCAGTCAAGGTGGTGGTAGCCAATGCAGTGGCCAGCATGCCTGGAAAGTCCTTCAGCGACTCATCTTCTGATTCAGGATACGATGAGTCCTCAAATCAGGGCCCTCAAGAAAACGGTGCGGCTACTCCAACACATGATACTGCTGGTGACTTCCCCAAAAGGTGTCATCTGCAACCAGTTGATGGGAAAGTAGATTAACCACAATGTCATGCTAGATCTTTTAAAAATCCCCTATTTTAGTGTAATTAAAGTGCACATTGGCTGCTGGGCGGAATGCGATGTGCCATTTCTATCACAGTTAGTTGAGAACTTTGTCTTTTGTAGCATTTGATCTCCTGTGAGATTGAAGGATCAGATGTCTTAGAAGCTCACAGACAATCAATTTTAAAGCAAATTTCTAGGTTTGTCTCTTTTTGAAGAGCAAACAGATTTAGTAAATTAAGTGGTTGGAACACTTTTGTTCCTGTGATTTTATACTTTTTACAATGGTATTAATAATGAAGAATTTTGATAAATCTGTGGAAAGCTTTAAAATAATAGTATTCAGCATGTTGGTTGATTGTTAGACATAATTGTGATTGTAGGTTTGATCCTGCTGCATTTTATTAAATGTGATGTAAGGTAAGAATGACTCGTGGCGTGTGCAATAATACTGATTACTGAATGTTGGCTTGTGTCAATGTGCTTCCTGAGGCTTGGCACACTTGGTTTGCGACTTTAAGGAAGGCATAGAGTGTTCAGTTCTGTTGTGTGGCAGTCGCTATTCTAACCCCAGCCAATGTGTTCAAGAGAAAAGAGATGACGTGTTCCTTGACTAAGTTGTGAAGATATTTAGCCCCATTGTGCAGGAATTGAGGTGGTTCCAATGTTTTTGTCAAGAGCATATGAGTCCATCTTTCCTCATCAGTTATTACATACTTAGTAGGATTTGGTCACAAATTGTCGGAAGGATTATTTCTAGCTGTCATCCACTGTGCTATAGAGTACTTAAATTCTTTATGTTTTTAAAGCTTCAAGATTGTATCGGTGTGTAGGAAATTTGTATAGTACTGCCTACATTTTAGCGTGTGCTGGTGGTTAGCTGACTTTAATTATTCACTATGGCACTGTCTGTTTTCTGAATCTCAGAATCCATGAAGTCCTGAGAGGACCTACTGATTATGCTCAGCTGTAAACTTCCAATGTCTCATTTAGCAATACATAATCAAAGTACATAATGCAGGGAACCGAGCCAATCTTGCTTGTTCAAATTCTGCCACTACCGCCCCTGCTTAAATGTTTTGACTAGAATTTATAGTCTTGCAATACTCAATAAGCTTTGATGTTCTTTCAGTATGCTGAACACGATCCCTCTCTTGTTTATTCTTGTACAGGAGATTGTTGCATTTAGACATTTTGCTAAATCCATCGTTAGCAACAGCTTGGAGCTGTATTTCTTCTCTTTTTCTTGTATTTATATTCTTTACCAATATACAATTTTTTATATATATATATTAGCGCATATATATATATATATGATATATTGATACATACGCGTAGTTAGACAGAGCTTTTGATTTCCTGTCAAGCAGCAATAGCAATTGTGGCCTTCAAAATTGATGGGGTTGTGCTTCATGGATGACTTGGGCATTGTTGTCTAAACATGATGAAAGTTAAAATTTGCTCTTGAATAAGCTACATCATATCAGCACACTATCATTATTGCTATTTTAGTAGATCAATGCCTATTTAAGTACTTTCCTCTCAAATTTAGTACAATTTATTTCTTATACCTTATGTATGATAAGCTAATACAATTTTCCAAGTATTTTAAAGTGATTGAGCATGGTTTGCTATGGAAATTGGCTGTCCATTTTAAACACTTGTCGTTTTCTTCCTTTCTTAATTTGATACAAATTTTATGGGGACTGTAATGCCAATCAAAGGGTACTTGATCAATTTTTCCTTCCCTTTACAATTGGCTGACTCCTGACCAAAGTATGGTAGTAGTATTGGCAAGGTAAAAATGCAGTGAGAAATACTCGCTATATGTTAGGGAGGTCTTCTTTGGTGGACCGGTCTTCAATTTAACATAGTTGATATTGGCAACTATCCAAAGAATGTTAAAATAATGTGGCATTTGAAGACTGATGTGTGAGGCCAAACGATGCCCACACTTATTGTGGCTCGAACAATTTAGACTTTTTTTTTCCCTTTTTTTTTAACTTTGCCCTTTTGTGATGCCATGCTCTTCTCAAGGCAATTTTACGTATTTAAAATTGGACTGTTCTATCCTAAGTGTCATGCTGAGAAATCTGATTCAAGAGTCTTATGTTAAGTTTTGTAAGTCAACTGTTGCATCGAGTGGTAGTCTTATACTTATTCCCTTGTTGAAATTTCAAGTCTGTATCGATCTTAAGTCAGTCAACGCACAGCTCCTCAAAGTACTTGCGTAATTTGTTTCCCTCTAGGCTTATTTTCTTATAGCTTACCTGGTAAAACAACTGTTAAAAAACTTGGTAGCAACATGTTCTGAGTTAGTTTGATGGAGAAACGTGTCCTAGCCACGCATTGTATTTTCATGAAGTCATTGTGAGACTTTGATCTTGCTCAGAGGTCAATTTAGCATTTCAGATGTGGCCATGTTCAAGTAGTGTTTATCTTTTCCTGTAAGGATCACCTCAAAATTTTCAGTTCCTTATTTTCTTGATCAACTTGTCAACTATTATCATGCATTGTTTTTAGCCTGCTGTATATCTTTCTTATGGGTCCACTTTTAAGTAGCCTGGTGCATTGAAAAGCAGGACTTTCAGTTCTGTGCCTTGATGTAGCACAGCTATTTACAACTGAACCCAGTGTGCATTTTGAATGGAATCAATACTCCTACTGGCTGAAAAGGTTTTTATCAAGATCTAGTCTCATGAACTTACCAGTTGAGAACAGTGCATTGCTACTATGTTATGGATCATGTGTTTCCCATTATGTGGATGAGACTGATGTAAGTCCACTTATTAGGTAAATACGAATTAACCATAGGCTAAGAAATTAACTTTTCCATGTTGTACAAGTATTATTTGTGTGCCCTTATGGTAAGTGTGTGTAATGTCTCTTTAAATCTTGTTTAAATAGCTATTGTATTTATTGATGAAAAAATGGATTGCAGTCATACCTCTCTGTATGATGAACTCTATGGGTTGCTGCATGCCATAGATTGATACCACTACTGTGTATGTGATCTCATGTGACCGTTCTTTCTTTTTTAAGTTAAGCAAATTGGTCCTCTAATTCATGTATAGCATCCAATTGTACCCAGAATCATGCAGCTCTTTGCATACCAGTTTTAATTTTATTGAAGGCCGGTTGTGTTTTCACCATTCTTTTATTTTCATTTTAAGTTATTGTTATCTTAAAACTGCTTTAAAATCTTCTTTAGCTTCAGTGAAAAAGTGTGACATAAAGTTCGATGCCTATTGACATATTACCATATCATTTGAAGACTGTGCTCCTGGATGGTTTTCGGTCCTCCACTGTCACTGAAGTTCATGAATTATTTTAGCAGAGTTGTTAAATCATGGACTAAGGCTTTTCTGCTTACACTAACTGCATTATGCGTAAGGTTTTGTGACAGTCACTTTGACAGCCATTTGTTTGGGAATTGTGACTATTTTTAACTAAATCATTCCTTTTGAGTAGTGTAAAATTAATCCATCGTCAAGATTGTTATCTCTAATTCTCATACACATTCTGACGTGATAGTGAATTTTTCAAACTTCTACAAATTTGGACATTGAATTGCTTGCCCATTCTCTTGTCTCCTGAAGTAAGATTCTTTTTTCTTTGGCTCTTCACCTGTTTTAAGACTTGACAACTTTCTATACTTAAACCACACCAATGATAACATTCCTTCTGTGTTTTTTTTTTCCTGTGACCATCAGCTTTTTCAGTTGTATCTTTGGAAACTTGTTATCATTTGTTTGGTTTGAAACAAAAATAGTGTTTTCTTTGAATGGCATGTTCACAAGACACTTTATCTCTTTGCTCTGGTATTGAACAAGATAACAATGGCGCTCTGAAATTCCCATGTATTAAACAACCTGTTTTTATTCTTAGTGGTAAGCGTAAGAGATCTTCAAAATGAACTGTTTCACTGACAAAGAATCAAATCAACTTAGTGACAATTTTTCAATTCCTATTATAAATGTTTGATTAAGTAGGATGTACGCTGTGGTTTTGTTGTATAAATACATGTCTAGCCAAGATCATGCTGTGTCCTTTTTTTTTGCCTCTCTTCATTTTATCTATGTTATAATTGTGTAAAATCATAATATATATTTATTTGATCAAAAGTCTCAGCATAATATTATGTAAGGTGGATGCGAAGATCCTACTGTGCAATTCCACTATTGTTTCCTTGTTTTTCTGTTTTAGGGAATAAAGTCCAATGAATTGAAACATAAAAGCGCTCTAAAGTGTGTTGTCATCACATTTTAATGTTTTATTGTTCATCACTTACCAGATTTTTTTATTTGATTGGTTTATCATGCCAACTATTTATGACAAGAAATGCGTATAAATATTTTATTTTAATATGATCTACTTGCAGAATGTATGAAGAGATTATCAGTGTGCTTGTACATAATAGGTGATGCGCTGCCTCTGTAAGATATCATATATATAAATACTATTTATAGATGTATGTAAATCTTACACACTGCCCCGATCTCAGGTTTCTGGATTTGTTTTTTTTTTTTTGATTTTTTTTTGTTATCAATTGTTAAAGAAGTGTTACCTATTTGACAAGCATAAAAGACTTGGCCAACTTAACACAATCCAAGCGCCAATTTGTATGAGGTATGTATGCCAATTCTCTCTTTTCAAATATTTGTAAATTTAAGGCTGAATGAATTAACCTTTCTAGTTTCCCAATGTAACAAAATGAGAACGTACACTGTCTCACTGAAGTTTAAGATAGTTATGGCCATCCTTTTGATACGGTTGAAGGCAAAAGCAATTCAATCTACAAAACAATATTCTCATGTGTCTTCATTTTGAAGGTGGACTCCTTGTTCTTCTGTCATTTACTTTCATTGTTCATTTTGGCCTTGCTCTAATGGTTTTAGAGATCTATGCTTGCCGATGTCTGGAAGTACAAATCTCATAGCCTCTTGTTAGTCCTCTTTTTCATTCTTACTTGGTTTTGTGTTTAGATGGCTGTTCTTTATAGTTTATGTCCTGGTATGAACTTGAGAAATGAAGTAATCTTGTGATTTTCTCCATTATATATTTTATATGTCATTTGATTACGTCATTATTTAATTGTTTTCTTTTTTTTCATTATTCTTTGCTAGTGTTTTCTTGTTCATTAAAGTGGAACTAACATAATGGGATGAGTGTTGTTTTATTTCATTGTATATAAGATACTATAACAGCAATTCCATTAAATGATAAGTATCTTCTATTGTTTTGTTTCATTTTTCCTTGTCCCATACACTGACAAAGCTTTTTAGGTGTTCAGTGGTCCAGGCATAGAAATTTGTCCAAATTTTGGGATCCTGCTTTGAGAAATAATGAATAATGTGAGGGTAGGAGAGGCATGCATCAATAATAACATAAGACAAAAAATAGCTTTAATGAACATTGTCATATGCAAGACGACAAAAATACTGAGTTTTTGGCACAAATCAAGGGAAGAGCACAGATAAATCAAAACAAAAACCTTCTCCATTTGCAACTAGTTTTGTTCCCATACATCAGACATGGTCTCACATTGGACCAACTATAGGTTGTGCCAACTATAAACAGTAGAATTAAATCAATTCACTTCTTTTTACGGTTTAAGAAACTTCGACCCCTCCATCGTCCAGTTTTTCCACGAACAGAATTTTTGTTGGCATTACTTCCATCTTCAGTTGGCTTGTGCACATCATGTAGAGCAGAATAAAGAAGATCTGCATCCTGACTGTTCAGAGTTAGTTCAGCAAGCTGCTCTTTAGAAAGAGTTAGGAGATGTGAAAGAGATTGTCCTTTTCTCAACACATAATGAATATTTTTTGTATTCACACCAGGCAGCTTCAACATAAAATCCTTCAGAAACGAAAAATTAGTTAATTCAAAACTGTGATAATAGCATTTGGATTCTGCTTTAGAACTAGGCATGTTTTACCTGAATGGCAATGTTGTATTTTTCAGCAAACTCGTCATCTCCACTTGCAACTTCTGCACCAATCATGGCAGCCTGGGTTGCATTAGGCTGCTCTCGGCCCTCCTAATAATTAAAAATTTTACAAAGTAAAGTCTTTTATTCATGATAAATTTCATTTTCCTGAGATTATTTAGTTTTTCATCACCTTCAGCTCTTCAAAAAGCTGTGCTGTTGCATATGGGCTTGGCGACCACACTAGACGCAACCGGGGAAAATGCATTGTCAGCAGAATCAATTTGGATGAAATGTCACTGGCAGATACATCATTACTTAAATAGTAACGGCCCTGTAAAACAATGAAGTTAAAAGACGCAAATTCAAATGCATATGAATTTAAGTACAAAACACGAACTTCTGTCCAGACATACTTGAAGAGCAAATGGTTTCTTATGATCAAATTCAATTAGAAGCATGGGCTTCGAATAATGTCGTGTCATGGCTGTAGCTTGGGTGAAAAGACGGCCATTGTTAAGAGATCCAATCAAATCACTGACACTTTTGCGTTCAACACAAATTTCAGGTGTAAGGATGTAGTCTCCAACCTTGAGATGTGATAAAAAACAGAATAATTAAACTATAAACTGTCAAAGAATATGCACTCCAGCAATAAAAACCGAATACTTTAACACCTTACATTTATGGTGACAGGTTCAATTTCAATGCCTCGACGATGTATCAAAGCTGGCAGCTCACTTCTGAATTCTCTCATATCCACAATAATTGTTGGAGTGCTCGAGGGAGCCTTAGGAATGCCACCTTTACGAGTGTTAACGTTTGGTAGTCCAGCTGCCGCAGATGCAGATTGACCAACATCACGTCGCAATTCAGCACAGTCTCCCGACTTGCCATCCTGATCAGCTTGTACCACCATAGTCTGCCAATGCAAAGCCATCTCAAAGTAGTCTGCATTTCAGTTCTATTGCAATCAAAATCACATTATTTTGTCAAACCTTACCGCCTTCTCCTTGATTAAATACTCAAATGCTTCCTTCTCCTGTCTCAATGTTGTTAGATAAGCCTGCTCCTCTACAGAGCCTCCATACATGAGGAAATAAACTGTTAAATCAACTCCAGGTGTAGAACTTTGAAAGACCTAAAATAAGAGGGGTCCATCACTATTCACTAGCCAAACATGACACAGTAAAATTTTAATGAAAATTGTACGTACCTCCAGTTGTCTCACTGCAGCTAAATCTGCATCATACATAACAACAGTATGAGGTTGGATCTGTTCTAAAGTTCGTGTTAAAGCTAAGGGATCTCCGTCTTTTTTAAATGATTGAATGGTAATTATTGGTAACATGCATTCTGACTGACTCGGAGGTAAATTATCCACCTGAAGGGAAGAAAAGGAGAAAAAAAAAATTTAGGTTGCTGCTGACTTTGGAATGGTATGAATAACAAAACAGCAAAATTTAAATAGCATTCAGCTAACATCAGATTGTTCTTCAAAATAGGACATGTTTTCTAAACTCTCTTTCCCACTATCCTCATTGGATGGATTCTGTTGAGTCATAGTAAGGCAATAACTGTCCCGAATATCTTCATCTTCATGGTCCTCTGGGAATCCAAAGGCATCATGGTTGAATTCTTCCATAACTTCTTCATTCAATTCAGCATCTGGATCATCTGGATCCATACTTTTTCTTTTTTTGTTTCCAGTGTCTCCAGCTAAACCAAACTGAGCTGTAACTGCGGGTGTGCGATGGCGTGTGGCTCTTCTGTACAATGATTGCAGCATTAGCTTGGACCCTTTGGTTAGATACTGAAAATGAACATTGACACAGAATAATGTTTACTAACACAAAAGTCAGAATAACACTTTAATGTCATGCTGAGAATAAACATCAATACCTCTTTTATTTGATTTCCAGTGCGTGTATCCTCCACTAAAACAAGAATGTGGTTCACACCATGTGGAGCATCAGAAGGATTTAACTCTTTAAGCTTTGTCTGAACTTCTCCCAGTATCTCAGACAAAGCAACCCATTTAGGAGAGTGCTCAGGATCAATGTCTGATTCATTTGCTGCTGGTTTAGTGCCCACAACTCTCTGTCTGGCAAGAAGAAATAGATCCTCTGCTGGATCAAGCAGAAGCCAACCAGAGCTTCTCCGAGCATACTCAGTACTCCTTAGAGAGGTGACTAAAGTATTAAAAGTGACACTATCGTATTGGGTCAGACACCTGCAGAAAAGACACCCATCAATGGGCAGGATGAACATAGCAGTATATTATGGTCAAAGTGACTATTTTATACTCAATATCCTATTAAATATGTAACCAATCAAAACAAATTTCTTTGAACAGTTACATACCTCAGCACAGATCTCAATGTTTTGATATCGGCTACAAGTTGCCGAGTTTTGGCACTTAACTGGTTCCATATGGGATCTAACTGATACTGAAGCAGCTTATGAAAAGACTTGGATATAGCATTTTCAACAGTTAGATCATCTGTATCCAGCTGTGGACACAACAATATAAATAACATATTCTCATACTCAGTTACAAAAAATTTAACAGATACTAACTTACAGTTGGATTAACTCTCTTCATTTCCTTGACGCAGAAGCTCATAAGATCCAAGACACAATTTTGAAGGCGCTGCATGGGGCTTGTCATGCCAACATGGAGTTCTACAACTGAAACCTACAAGACACATAATTGTTGCATGGTGCACTGAATATGACCAAGAATAACTTACTCACAAAAATGGAAATTATACCTTTTTTAAGCTTGCTGCCACCACTGCATGAAATCGAGGCCATAAGTACAAATTTTTAACAAACAATGTTTTCATGATGCGCTCAACTTGAGCAAAGCCTACAGTGAAGGATTGAGCTGAGCTTGAAAAGGCTTTCACAAATCCTTTCTGTAAAAAGAGAGAAAAAAAAGACGTTCTCAATACTTTTTTTTTAATTTTCAGATTTTGGGTTGATACGTCTTACTGAGGAGTGTCCTTCATAACACAATGAATAAATCAGTATTTTGAAATAACAACATGCCTTATTCTTTTGCCTGTATAATCGAACAGCAAATGCTTCTTGACAGGACTCTAGAATGGCATGAGCACGACAGACCAAAACCCCTGTCACATTTTCAACTGGCACTCTATTTTTTAACAAGTCAACCACCAAAATTCTGGCAGACATAAATAAAACACCTCCCTGAAGATATATGGTCTCTCTGAAAGAAAAGTGATAAAGTAAGAAACCAAAGATTCAAGTAAATACAACTACTAGTACTGCAAGTACAACAGACATGATGCATCTACCTTTCATTTGCATTTGTTTCATTGTTGATTATTCGAGGAAGTGGACTAATACCTTGCGTCTCAAGCTGCTTGATGAAATATTCCTCTTCTTGAGCTTGAGTACCAAGAACCAAAACCAAATTCCCTGGGTCACACCAAACCTTCAGCAGACTTATAAGGACTGAATGCAATCCCAAACCCCTGTGTTAACAGTTTCACAGTGTCAATAAGATTAATGTTGTACAAGAAACAGACATTTTTATGACAGCGATACAAACCTAGCTGCAACAACAAGTCCATCTTCATGTAACACATCAAGAAATATTTGGTTTTCATAAGGCAGCATGGTGTCAGAGAACAAGCACCTCGAGCAAGATGCTGATTACAGGCCAAATCAAGGCCCACAAAGCTGAAACTTCACCTTCCTCACCCTTTAGGCAAACAAGTAAAACCAATGCTTTAACATAAATAGAATAGGGTGAAAGTAGGACTAAAAGATTAAAAATATACCTCTCCTTCTCCAAGATCTACTCCGTCAACTTCTCTGGAATGCTTCAAATCAGAATACTGTGATCTCGCAGATTCTGAGTGACCTTCCCGATCTTCAAGTTGACTTTCTTCTATATCTACAAAACTATTGTCTCTGGTAAAAAAGTCTCCCTCAATATCGTCTTCATTACTGTATGATGCCTCTAAAAGATATGAACTTACATCATGAGATGTATGTCCATATACACCTATACCAATAGGCCGTTTGTACCTAAGTAGACCAATTCATTAACAACTGCTCAAACAGAACAAATAATGTCGTAAAAGCACAGTAGATTCAATAAATACTTACGATGCTGGTATGTGTACAGTGTCTACTCCACACGTGACAGCTTGTAAGCAATGCGAGTCCAGCTCATAAGTAGGTTTTGCTATATATTGTGAAATGTACAAGTCCGCATCACCTGAGCTGCAAAACCAACAATAATGACGAATTAAAAGGTGTGGGTAACTCAGGGTACATTCGCTAAACAAAGTTTCCAAATTTTGTAATTCTATCATAGAACCCCAAAACCTGGAAGTTTGCAGACCCTGAGAAAAACTAAGGCAAAAGCAAGTTAACTTAAGAGAGATTCATACCGAGAGTATAAATTCAAAGTAATAGGGCCTTCGAACATTAATATGTAATATGTGAACTGTCCACGGCTGACTTCACCAGAGACTGAGTGCAGAAGTTGTCCACCATGAACAAGAGAAATTGATACCTGATTGAGGTTTGAAAAGATTCTGCTTAAAACCAGAGCACCGTAAATAGTAATATGGTAGAAAATTCAACTAATTGGAGATATAACGCAATGGAACTTACAATGCACAAGAGTACTAACACAATAAACTTCATTCTTCATGACACTGAAGAAAATACCGCAATGGCACAAACAGGATCTGAAACGAAGGACACAAGGCATTAGTGAAGAACAGTACGGTAAGTTTGACAGGTGTAGCGAATAAAACGGTCTGCAGTCCCTCCCATGTTTAACTTCATCACCCTCCAGTAGTTCAACTGAGGTACTATCATAACACAGCTGACATAACATGTCAGAAGAAGGGGGTTACAAACAAACATTTAGGAAATGTGCCTGTTTTAATTGATAAGAGCAAGCATGACAAAACTGTCATTATCTGCTAGGTATGACTCTGAAAATGGTGTTGATAGAAGAGATGTCATAACCACATACAAATGATAAGTGCGAAATGTTACCTCTAGAAATACACACGTTTGATACTTACAATTTTTTTCAGTATTGAGAGGAAACACACTTTCTGGACAGGACATGAATTTGAACGCCACCCAATTTTTTATCAAAATCGTACTTACCCGTTCAAAATATTAGCAGCTTTAAATGCAGCCAACTGATATCGTGTTAATAATGCTTGGTGTCGACACTATTTGCAGGACAGCGGTAGTAAACATGGCGTTGTAGTCTGCGCTTCATAATAAAAATATTTATCTTATTTAAAGTTTTCGTAACCAATAAAAATGCTGTGGTGAAAATTTATTTCTGACATTGCCGCTGCTTCAAACAGATTGCGAGAATGGGGACCGAAGTGCAAGTGGCCAATATTTTGAATGACTTCATGGTAAGAGTACTACCGGCGAAATTCTTAACCAAAATATTTGTTTAGACTGCATTTACTCAATTAAAATTTCATTCATTATGGAGACGTTACAGTTCTTTCTCACTAACCCATGGTTTTATTTCACTTGCATGCGTGGATTTCTAAACTTGTGTTTTTATTCAAGCGGACTGAGGCACTAGAGGAGGGCTTGAGCTGCTTCCTAGTTCAAAGACCAGAAACAGACAGAATGGTTTCTTTGAAAAGTGAACTGAGTGGTATTCTTTCTGGGCTTCCTCAAAAAGATCAAGAGGCAGGAGTCAAGCAATACTTAAGCATTGCTTCAGTAATGACAAACTCTACCCGGCTTCAGCTTTTGTTGAAGGTTCTTCACGATCTTGTTCAGAAAAAAGTACTCCAAGCTCTGTAAGTTGACCTTAACACATTTGACTCTGTTCATGTCACTTGTAAGCCTTTACCTCACAATAAATATTTGTTTATAGGGTGGTATGTGACTGCATCTTGAGCTCTGAGAAACTTACCTACAAAAACAGTGTCTTCTGGATTGAAAGTTTTAATCTGATCAGAAAAATTGTTGGGAGTGTTGATTACAAGGGAATTCGAGATGTCATGAAAGCAAGTATTTCTTGTCTTTAAATCAATATATTTTGCTGGTGTTGGTAGGCGAGACCTCCTGAAACTAAAGCAAGTCTAACTTCTGCCTAGATATGCCGAGAGAAATTTGGGACATTACCTGTCAGACTGACCCCTTCAGTCATGCCACAAGTGAAAGCTTTGGAGAGCGTTCTGGAACTCCTATTTGATCGCAGTGCCTGTTTGTTGCCAGCTTACCTTTTGCTCAATGAAGTTATTAAAGTTTATCCAGATGGGAAGAACTGCCCTCACTGGGTAAGAAACATAAAACTTTTTTTAATAACCAAAAAATATTTGGGATCTAATTAAAAAACAAAAGGGCTCTAAACATTCCATACTTTTGTTTTGCTTTTCAGAAACTAGCTCCACTTATGTCTAATTTGATAGAGACTTTCAGACCAACAGCACAGATGATTTCCATCATTGGTCAATGGAAAATGTTACCTGTCGTCCCTGGTGTGGCTGTTTCAGAGCAGTATGCTCTCCCATGGAAGTTAGATTCAACCACCTTGAAACTACCTCTGATGGGATTGCTTCCATATGATCCTCATTTACTTGAGCCACAGACTGCACTTTTGCATCGAGTCTTGGACCAACCATATAGCAGAGACATGGTGTGCACAATGCTGGGGTTACAACGTCAGGTAATTATTGCAGTATTTCAGAATTTTCCTTTAAAATTTGTTGACCACATGGAGAAATTTTTTCGCCTGCTCTCAACTTTTATAGAAGCAACGCTGTGTGGCTCTGGAAAATCAACTTGTTGAGTTAATCATGGTGTCTATGGAAAGAACAGAGACTGAAATTCATGCAGAGGAAGGCTCTCATTGGAAATGGCTTCACTTGTCTTCACAAATTATATTTTTTGTCTTGTCTCATTATGCTAACTTCAACACTTTGTGTCAAAGTCTTCATGACAGGGTAAGAATTTTTAAAAGATCAAATTAAAATAAAAAATTTAAATAAATCAATTGACCTTTATAAAAACAAGAATAAAAAATTCTCTCATAACAGCTTGCTGTCAGAACTGATTTGAGAAAAGGGAGAGATCACTTGATGTTTGTGATGCTACAGTTTGTCACTGGGGCAATACAGAAGAACCCTGTAAGTTCTCTTTTGTACACCACTTCTCGGTGTGTATCACATATTTTCTGTATTTCAACTACCATTCTAATTTTTAAAAATTTTCTTTTGTCCTCTCTTTAAAAAAATTTAGTTGAGTCAGTTCTTATGCCTCCTTAAACTATATGATCTTCTATATCCTGAAAAAGAACCTCTACCAGTCCCAGATATTAATGATTGCTTGTGCACTCATCAAATGGCTGCTTGTTGCATTTGGATCCACTTTTTCATAAAGGCTGATGATGAAAAAACAAGTCTACATCGGCCCATACCCCCTGCTTTGCGCGGTCAGCATAGGTAAGTCTTTTTAGATTGGCTATTGAGTCCTTTCATTTTTATTTTTTTTCATACTTCGACTAATACTGTGTTTGTCCTTCATCTTTAGTTTCATCCAGCATTTGCTACCTTTGAAATTGGTCCTGACTAAAGGTTGTGACTTCAGACTGGCTCTTTTGTGCAATGCTTTTTCAAATCACAAGGAACACTTCACTCGTCCGATGGCTTCTCTAGTTGATTCAATCAAACATCCCAATAATTCAAATCCGTCTCATCCAGCACCACCACCTGTCCCACTGTCAATGAGTATGCTAGATGCTATGACAACACATTGTAAAATGACATTGATACACCACATTGTCAACCACATTGTGAAGGCTGCCAAAACAAATATGCCTCTGCCTCCAGCTCTTGTTGAGACATACAGTCGTTTGTTGGTTTACACTGAAATAGAATCATTAGGTGTAAAAGGATTTATGAGTGATGTCCTTCACACTGTAGTGAAATCTCACTCTTGGGGTATTCTGTATACCTTACTGGAAATGTCCAGCTATAGAATGCATCACATACAAGCACATTATCGTGTCCAGCTTCTATCCCATTTACATAATTTAGCTGGTGCACCACAAACCAATCAAACTCAGCTCCATTCATGGTGAGTACCAAATAACTCCAATTTTATCTAAGGTCTGAAAATTTTTTTCACGGACTGATTCAACAATTATTTTTGTCGCAGCATGGAAAGTACAGCTCTCCGTTTGATTACTGGCCTAGGGAGCAGAGAAGTACAGCCAGAGTTGTCTCGATTCTCAAATGAACCCAAGAAGCTTGTTTCTGCAGAATCAGAAGAACTTAACCGAGCATTAGTGTTGACTCTAGCTCGGTCCATGCACATCACTGGAACTGGCACTGACATGAGTCAAAATGTGTGGTTCAAAGACCTTCTTAACACCATAATGCAGAACACACCTCATACATGGGCAAAGCATACTTTGGAATACTTCCCACCTGTTCTAAAGGACTTTTTCGAACAAAACCGCATGCAAACAGAAAGTCAGGTCTCATTGAAGAAAGCAGTTGATGAGGAGTATCGAAATTGGGCTTCAATGAACAATGAAAACGACATTATCACTCATTTCTCTGAGCCTGGAACACCACCTCTTTTCCTTTGTCTTCTTTGGAAGGTGAGTAAAATAGTTGGTAAAATGTCTTTCAAGGATAGGATGAGTTTGAAACTTTTTCAATTCATCTGTGTGTTTTTTTTTCTTAGGTCATATTAGAGACAGACAGAGTCAACCCTATTGCTTACAAAATATTGGAAAGAATCGGAGCCAGATCTCTCTCCAATCATCTTCGCAAATTTTGTGAATATTTTGTCAATGAACTTAGTGCAAGCTCTACTAGTGGTATGCAACAGATTCACGTAAATAAGTGTGTGGATGCTGTGAACCGGATGATCTGGAAATATAACATCATTACCATTGATCGCCTGGTGCTGTGTTTGTCAATGAGACCTCATGAAGGCACAATGTCCTATTATATCATCCAGATTCTACTCTTGAAGGACAAAGAATTTCGCACAAGAGTTCAAGAATTTGTTCGAGATAATTCTCCTGAACATTGGAAGCTATCCAACTGGTATGCTAACTCTTTTAATGAGATATCTATTAATTGGTTCAAAATTACTTCATGAATATAGCAACAATGAATTTTACTCCTGATTTGTCTTTGTTTCTCTCTTCTCTGTTTGGGAATACAGGTATGAAAAGCATTTAGCGTTTCACAGAAAATATCCAGAAAATTTTGCCTCAGAAGGAACAAACGATCAGTCACAGTCTGGTGGGACTATAAATCAATACTCTCTTCCTGTTTACTTTGGAAACGTGTGCTTAAGATTTTTACCTGTAAGTTCAAGTTTTTAAAAATATTATTTGGAAAAAGATCCGTATTTTGTTTAAGTTTTTACATGAAACAACTTTTCTTTCTCTTGTGTCAGGTTTTTGACTACCTGATTCACCGCTATCTTGAAATGCCCTCTGTCAACAAGTCTCTTGAATCGGTCTTGGAACACCTTGGGTGTTTGTACAAATTTCATGGTAAGTGTGAGCGCTAAACATTTGTTTCATAGATTTATAATGCAAGTCATCAATGTTTGTATGGATGAAAGTAAATTTATTATTGATACCATTTTTCTTTGACATTTGCAGATCGTCCTGTAACATACTTGTATAATACCCTTCACTACTATGAAATGAAAGTTCGAGATAGGCCAAGTCTAAAACGCCGCTTGGTCCTAGCAGTCCTTGGGTCTTCACTGGAAAGCAAACCCCTTGGCTTTGGCTTAAGTGAGAAAGCTCAGCTGTACATGCAAGAATCAGCAGAAAATTTTAATCCAGAGCTGAATTATTACATGTGGCTCATTCAACGAATATGTGATAGTATCCTTTGGCATATCATCCTTGTAACCACTGGTTTTGGTTTACTTCGTTATTAAGTTCCAATGTACCAGGACTTTCCTTATCAATAATGCAGCAATGTCGGGAAAGACTCAGCTTCATACAGACTGGCGGTTTAATGAATTCCCCAACTCAGCATCACATGTTTTATATATTACATGTGTAGAGCTAATGGCTCTTCCAATGTCTCCCTCAGTTGTAGGAAACAGCTTGCTTGATGTTGTTACTAAGGGGTAAATTATCGTAACATTTTGTTGTTGAGTTAATGTGCTTTACTTGAAATTAAGGAAATTTTTTCTTACAGGTATACTGTGATTCCACCCCAGCAAATAATGAACTGGATAAATGCCATAGGACTAGTGATGGCAGCACTGCCAAATGCTTACTGGCAGGCTCTTAATGAACGATTGGTTTCAATTATGAATTGCCAACAAATGATGCACTGGCCCTATCGCAATTCACCATTTCAAATGTTTAATTTTCAAGACACACATGATTCCATGCTTGAAAACAAGTTTTCCTATGTACTTGCATTAGCCCATTCCGTTTGGCATCATGCTGGGTGCGGACAAATAGCTCTATTACCACAGTAAGTTTTATCTCATTCTCACTTCGCTTTATAATTTCAACTCAAGTATTCTAATCATGTTTCTAACAAAAAATTCCCATAGGTTAGTGAGAGAGAATCTTTATCCCATCATTCGCACAGAAGAGCAGCTTCTCTTCTTATGTCACCTGATTGGGCCTTTCTTCCAACGATTTAACAATGACTACAGTGTCCATCTCATAACAGAATTAACTACTGTTTTATATGAATCAATAGAACAAGTTGATAGAAGTGTTTCCGAATTTCATCACATGGACATAATATGTGACCTGCTTTACCACATAAAATATATGCATGTGGGGGATGCAATCAAATCTGAACTATTAACTATTGTCAAAAGATTGCGTCCGCAACTACAGATGAGACTTCGATTTTTAGTCCGTCTTTCTCTAGACGAAATAAAGGGGTATTAACTTTCTTTTGCATTTGTACATTAGTAGTAGAGTAATTTGAATATAATGTAAATAATGAAATTTATGGTATACCTTTTTAAATTTTATTTTGTTTTTATTTCTTTTTAAAGTGCTGGCTAAATAATTTTTTAATGTAAAATGTTGCCTGTTAAGCATTGTCCCCTTATTGGTCTCTGTGTTTCTGAACGATGATGTCAGTTCATTTCTTATCATCAGGTAGATGGTTATTTATATATTTATCAACTCTTTTATTTGTGTGGAAGACCTGTGATGTAAATACTGTCTGCTATTATGTGTCTTCTATGCAATACAATTTTTAGTGATTAAATAAATGTGAACTGAATGAGGCTGGACACTTTCTATACTATCGAATCGGTATTGTACTAACCAGATGGCCACTAGCAGCAAAGTAAAGGTAACAGTAGTGAACAGTGAACAAACTAATATTGTGCAATTGTAGACACTACTATATACAAAACTGAAGCAGGGAGAATAATAGAATGAATTGTTTGAAATAAATAAGACAATATCATATTTGTATGAAAGGGAGCATACATTTAAAAAAAAGAAACAGATACTTCCTCGCTGCCTATAAACAAAGCAAAATAAGCAATGCACTTACAAACAAGTTCTAAAGTTTTGTTTTTCTTTGCACTAGGAAATTATGAACATCACACAATCTTGATAAAATACAATTGTAGAGCCTAATCAATTTACAGACAATTAAAAAAGTACTTACAAAAATTATAAGTAACAAAGATTTAAGTCAAAGACATATTACAATTCTGGAAACTCAGCACTCTGCCACTAAATTCACTTGATCATTCATTATCATGCCTTATTTCAAAACTACTCAAGTGTAAATTCTTGACCTTGATCAGGATCTCCATCAGCATTGTCAACCATTTGATCCCACATAACTTGGACCATTTCAACAGTTCCGTCATCATTTACTCGTGCAACATTGCCCACAGAACCAGGAGGTAACTGGCCAACTTCTTCTCCTGACATATCAACCACATGAACATATACATTTCCATCCTCAGAACCTTCAATGTGTTCGCCCGTTGTCTCATCTGTGATTGGCATCATGCACATAGTTTCACCCTCGACGCCTTCAACACCCTGCATGACCATGCCTGAAACTTCTATTGTCATCTGCAAAAGGTAAATTGTTAAGTAAATTTCAAGATTAAGCTGAGAGGGAGGAGAGTAAATTTAAGGTCAGATAAAGTGAAAACAAGAAAACAGACTTACAGCATCATTGTTATCACCATCAGTCAAGGCTCTTAGTTGGCCATCCTCTCCCTGAGTCATTACAATTGAGGTTGTTCCATCATCATTTTGGGACTGTGAGACTGTTGCTAAGACCATTCCATTGTTACTGTCAATATGATTCCGCGACGGCTCACTCATATTATTTATTTCAGCGGCTATCATTTCCACAGTTTCAGCTTCACCAGAATCCAAATTTTCCAATTTGGACATACCATTGTTTTCATGTACATCAACTTCATTGCCAGATTCAGTTTTAAACCGCTTTATAACTTGCTTCTCATTTTCTCCTGACTCTTCTTGTCCAGCAGGACTCGGATCTTTCTTTTTATGTTGTTGTCGGACATGATGAACCAAGAAAGCATTATAATCAGTAGTGTATTTGCACTTGTTGCACTGCATCCATGTGTCAGATTTTGAGTTCTTCTTGTGATCACTGCTATTGCCTTCCCCATCACTCTCTCCATCAGTACTCATGGCTTTTCTCTTCCGATTCTAATAATAATGTGGAAAGTTAGTAAAAATTTACAAATTTGAATAATTAGCAAATAAAATACAGAACGAATGCCTTTGCTCACCATTTCTTGTTTGTGTTCTCTTGCTGCAAACAGGACAAACACCAATGTTTACATTAACAGTGCTCATGGAAACAAATACACTGTACAGGAATAATTGAGATGGTAGACAGAGCATTTACCTGGATTTGCTGAAGGAGTAATTTGGGGTGGTGGAGCTGGAGCACCAGTAGGTTTACTGTTGACAAGTTCTCCTTCTTCTAATGCATACTTCTTTTCTAGGAACCGTAAAACTACTCCACGCACAGAACCCATTTCAGTTTCCAAGCGATCAAGTGTGTTAATAAGAGTAGCACAACCACGACAAATTATATCATCCTCTGATATGACAACCATGTACCTAAAGAAAATGTTTACTTAGTTTGAATAGGTGTTTAATTTTCAAGCAGCATTTCAAATACTGTATTCACAATTAACATAGGAACTAGATATTTATATTTTTTCCAAAACTGACTTACCTTTCACCAACTAACTGTCCTAGCTTTTCAATGAGCCTGACTTTCGTACTTTGAGTGCGACATGTTGCTAGCGTGTAGTATCGACCAGAAACTGCGACATCGCAAACGAAGCAGTGGAGATCCTGACCAGGCAGAACTGTTCCAGCGTGTGCCACTGCAGCTGTCATTTTACCTAAAAGAAAAAGATACAAAGGGTAAAGTAAACAGATATTAAAACAGAACATGACCACGATAACAAAAACGAAATGTGACTGTCAATACAAAAATTGGATATAAAAAGCATAATGCAAAGCTCCGGCTCTCGAAAGAAACGAAGAATTGAAATAGAAATTAATTTTAAAGGCACTACAGTGTTGACTGGTGAAAAAACATATCAATTGCGGGCATACTATAGATATATGAAGGAAATAAACAATCAGCTCAGTGTGCACTAAATATCATAGAGACATGGCAGGTTAGCTTATCCTCTAGGCAGTATAATACGAAAGAGGGCAAAATAATAAAAGGGTTTCACAAAGTATTGCCACTCTAAGACCGTACCTTTCTTAAACTAGAAGTTTAAAAAACAAAGCTTCAAAATTTTCAAATGCCGCGTTTGTGTCGGCTTGTCGAAAGTGACGACGCTCCGCCTTCACTGAGACGTAACTTTCTGACTGGAAACTACTTGATTCTTCTGCTTATCTTCACATATTTTCTGAAAAAACTAAAAAAGACTTCTCTTCTAGTTCATCCATTCAAAACTCCAATGAAATTGCTAATCTGGGTTTTCAAAAGACAGATCTTTTAATTGAAAACGTAAAAATAATGATAGACGTTCGTCGTGGGTCGTGGACAGCCGAGGACAGCGGTTTCGCAGCGTCTGCGACGCCCGTCTGCTCGAGCTCCGACGCCGTCCAGTACGCCGTGCGGAAAATCTAAACAAAACCGATGGATCTGGGCTGAGCGTACTTATCTAATTTTCTGTTCAATGACTCAACAGTGTTGCGCTTGAGACTACGTACACAAGATCAAGAAAAGTAAGTTTAGCTTTGCAAAGTATCTCTCCGTTCCTTCGGAAAGTGAAATATAGGCAATGGGACACAACACTTGCGAGCGCAGTGTTGGCTCTCGACCCGGGCCTGAATGGGGGAAAAAATAGGATTTGTGAGGTAAAGCGGGCAAGTCAGTTCCTCACTCTTAATTTTGTATTTTATGTGAGCACATACCTAATTTGAAATATCTATTTCAACATCAGGCTCATCGGCGTTTTCAGAAATCAGAAAATTATCATTGCTTAGTGCTACTCGGTCAGCCGCATAACCTCAACTCTAGGAAAGTGTTTGGTTGTTGTCACATCCTCATCAAATTTTGAGCAAGAAACTGCTTTCTCTTTTTCATATTTTCATATGTATAGTTTGGTACTTCCCGTTTACATTTTTTTCCTTTCTTGTGACCAAACGTTAACCTAAGTTTCAAGTATTAGAGGTTGGAACCGAGATAATTTTGTGTTGAATTCTGTTTATTTTATATTTCTGTTTCTTCACTTAATTCCAGCTACCCAATTCCAGCTATCCTTAATATCTTTTCCTCTTTTCAGTGTCACGTTGATGATGTTCTATATGAGGCTTAGCAATGAAACGGTGTATTCTGGGTATACAGGTAAGCAACACCAGATTGTTTTCGTATCAAATCAGAAAAAAGCTCACTCTGGTGAGCTGATATCTTTTTGGCGCTTTAATTTTTTGTTCACTCTCTCTGTTTTATTTTTCAATTTTGAATTCTATGTTGTTAAAGAAAAGTTTCTCTTCTGTTTCAGAAATATTTATTTAAAATGTTATGAAGCTGCTCTGGGCATTGAAATTGAGATAAAAATTGAAAATGTCCTCAGGGGAGCACTTGCTGATGAGCAAAGAAGCAGGCGAAAGTAAGGACAATGTCAGTGAAGAACATATGGACTATGAAGACACATCATTTTCTGAGGGAACCTCACAGGGTCAAGATGACTCACAAGAAAGTCAAGAGACATCTCTAATGATACCTCAAGGTAACCTGATAATTAATGATGGCCAAGAAGAGAATGAGGACCAGGACATCCCAGAAGACGAACAGATGGGATATGAGGACACTTCCTATGTGGAAGGTGCCCCTGTTCCAGCCTGTGCCGACAATGAAAATTCAGAAGCTGGCCGTGCTACTTGCATTACAGAAATGCCACGAAATGATGGTATTTCTGTAATTGCAAACACAGCAGAAGCAGAGGCTTATTTGTCCGGGGCTGTAATTCGTGAGGCAGGTACCATAGGGTCCACCACTGAACTCTCTTTAAATTCAGAGGATGTTCAGGCCTTAAATGAAGTTTCAGAAAATGAGGAACATCATTCCTTGGTTCCCTACTCCTCAGAAGATAGTGCAGGCATGGATACAGCTGATGATGAAACAAATGCTGAGACTGAGGTTAATCTTGAAGCTGATGTAAATGCTGAGCATGAGTTAGGTGCTGAAGTTAACTTGATTTCGCAAGGTGATGTGAATGTTGAATATGAAACACAAATAAATACTGAAGATGAGGCAAATATTCAGTCTGAAGAAAACATTGAATATGAAAATGAGGCCGAAACTATAGCCGAGGAGAACATTTCATATGAGGCAAGTGCCGAACAAGATGTTAGCACAGAAACTGAAGAGAATTCTCTAAATCAGCACCTAGTGGAACAAGAGATGGAAGCCGAACCAGCAGCCGAAGAATCTGAAACTGATTTTGCTCCTGAAGGAATGGTTGAAAATGCAGAGAGTGTAAGTGAAGCAGAAGCTTTTGAGACTTATGACGAAGAAGGAAATAATGCTTCAAATGTGTATGATGTTCAGGAACCACAGTTAATCAAAAGCACCGAAGGGGAGACAAGCATTATTCTAGAGGGTGTTGCTAAAGAAGGTGACTTGGAATTGTGCAGTGTACCTGACGGTCAAGTTTTAGCTCTTGAAAATGAGGATTCTGGTATGCCAGAAGAACAAGAGTTACCTCAAGAAAATGAGGATTCTACTGTACATGCCATTCAAGAAATAATCCATGAAACTGATTCTATTGAAGGTCAAGGACCCCTAAGTGAAGACACTGCCTTACTAGATAGTCAACATCTATCTCAAGAAAATGATGATTCTGTTCCACACGATGGTCAAGAACTACCCCAAGAAAGTGATGATTCTGCCCTACCAGGAGGTCATGAATTACCCCAGGAAATTGATTCTGTCCTACCAGAAGGTCAAGAATCACCCCAGGAAAACGATGATTCTATCCTCTCAGAAGGTCAAGAATTACCCCAGGAAGATTATGAACCTGTCATGCTAGAAGATCAAGAATCAACTCAGGAAACTGAAGATCCTTGTGATGAAGAATTGCCTCTGGAGAATGAAGATTCCAGTACATTATCAACAGCAGAAGCAGGAGAGGAAGCAGTTGACCAGTCCAATGAGGATGCAGTACAAAATGCAGTAGATGACAATGCGGAACTAGTGGAGGATATGCAGGATGCGGAGGATGATGGTGAAGGGGAGGAATACGTAGGCGAAGAAGAGGAGTTTGAAGACGGTGATGAAATGGCAGAGGAAGTTGAAGTGGAAATAGAAGATTGCTCAGATCCTGAAATGGAATCTGAGGGTGGAGTCACATACATCATCAGTGAAGGCATGATTGTTGTGGAAGAGAATGAAAGTTCAGAAGCTTACCAAACCGCTGATAATGGTATAATATTAGCTTTATCTTTAGAAATTGTTGTCTGTTTGATTATCCTTAGCAAGTGTTCTAATTGAATTTCTTGTTTCCAGGTGCTGCCATTGAAGAAGAGGAAGACTCAGTTGTGCCAAAGACAACTCGAATTGTGATTAAAGTTCCATCTTCTAAAAGTGTAAATGACACCATTTTATGTAGTGAAGAAATGGGAACTGAAGTTGTGAAACAAGAAGGTCAGTCGTTGATATTGCAGGAACTAGGAGATGTATCTAATGCTAGTCATTCTGAACAACCGACTATTAATGAGGTTGAACCAATTAATATGAAAGAAACTGAATCTATGGGAGATTCGAATGAAGTTCTAGCTGAAGAGGATTTGCCTCTTGAACCAACTGGAGAAATTGATGGTACAACCAATGAAGGTGATCTTGGAACACCTGCACCCTCTTCACTCCAAGAGGTAGATCCAGAAAATCCGGCAGGAAAGGAAGACACTCAGCCTGCTGAGTTCGATTGTGGTGTGGATACTGCAGTACAACAAGAGACTGAATTAGTGGCAACTGATGAGTCTATTTCACCAAATATGTTAGAAGAAAGTCAGTGCGAAAAAGCTGTAACAAATGAAGAGGTCGCTGCTCAAAGTAATGAAAGTCTAGACGTAATTGCCACTTCTTCAGTGTCAAGTAAAACTAATGCAAAGAATCAATATGAAAAGATTGATGATATTGAAGAAGCGGCACCCAAGAATTCAAAACCTAAAGGAATCTCAACAAAGTCAGAACAAAAACAAGTTAATTCAGCTCATTTAAAATCTGCTGAGAAGACAATTGGAAAGACTCCAAGTAAACCATTATCTGCCCATGCACCCTCTAAAAGTGAATCCAAAGGTTCTAAACCTTCCAGTAATAATAAGAGTCATTTACCTCATGAAAAGGAGCCTAGCGAATCTGTAAAAAAGAGACAACCGGATAGTGGTGATTCAGTGAAGCGTTCTTCTAAGCACACTCATGGTTCAGCTCATAAACACAAGAGTCAGAATGAAACCAAAACCTCTACCTCTGTAAAGACCATCAGTAACACTGAAACTGCGGCTAAAGAAGAACATTCATCTAAAGGGGACTCTGCAAAGAAGCATGTTGAAGGAAAGGATCGTTCCTTACACAATGAGAGTACCCACAGTTCTAAAAACGTAAAGCAGCCTCTGACTTCATCCCACCGGACACGTTCTAGCTCAAGCACTCCCAAAGAGTCTTCTAGTAGGGACAAACGAAGTGCTCACAAAGAAGAAGGAGCAGCAAAGAAATCAAATAATGCAGTATCTCGTTCAGATGATTCTTTGAGTTCCAGTAAATCGAATTCAGACTCTAAAGTATCTCTTCGTAGTAGTAGATCTCGCAAATCACACTCTGATGCTGCTAATGAAGTGCAAGATCCACCCACTGTCAAAAAGGAGAAAGCCAAAACCTCCACTGAGACACCTCAAAAACCACGCCAGAGTGAACGAGTGTCAAAGGCTACAGAAAAAGCACTTGCTTCAGGCCTGATATCAAGGCGCTCAAGAACAACAGCAGGAGATAGTGCAACAAACAACAGCGAAAGGCCTTCTGACTCATTATCTGAAGATCAGGCTCCATCCCAACGGCGTGGAAAGAGGAAAGCTGATTCCTCTCCTCCCCCTGCACAGGAGGAGACTCCTTCTTCTAAGAGAAGAGTTACCAGAAGTGGGGAAGGTTCACAGTCCAGCGACAGTCCAGCTCAGAGTTTGAGATCGGTCAGAAAGAATAAAACACTAAAGAGGAAAGGGTCTACTGGTGATTCGTAAGTATTTTTTTCTTACTTTACCAGCTAGACTTAAGGCTTGGACAACAATTTGATTTTACTGTTTTTTTTCTTAGACCTCCTTCAAAACATGCTCACAAAGAAGATCCTAAAGACAAAGCTACAGATGAATTCATTGCTAATATTCCAAATATGTGTCGCATTTGTGGATCAAAGAACGATAATCTGATCAATGTCTTTGGACCAGAGGGACAAACCATGAAGCTGTCAGAAAAAGTTCATAACATTTTGCCAATCAAGGTTTGTTTTAATCTACTATTAAATCTTCCTCCTGTTTGCAGAGGGCAATTAATTTCCCTATAATCTAATTGTACTTAAACTTTGCATTTCTCTTTGAAATTCCAGATGCGCCAAGAAGAACCTCTTCCTTCTGGGGTATGCCATTCTTGTGTTGTTACACTCATTGCTTGTGAAAAACTTGTTGAGAAATGTACCAGCATTGACAAGAGGCTTCGTTCTCACTATAACTGCCATGAAGAAAAACCAGTTAAAGAAAACATCCAACCTGTCAAAGAGATTCAGCCTGAGACACTCCCAAAGAGTTCTGTTGAATTGTCGAAGGCAGAAAAGTCTGTGAAAAGTGATGTGGCCCCAACATCTAAATCAGCTGAGCTGTCCTCCTCCAAAAAGGATGAGGCGCCTTCCACAACACATTCCTCAAAGGTCAACAATGCCACTAGATCTTCCTCTCGAGTTTCTGCTAAGAAGCAGTTGGAAAGTTCTCAGAAGCCAATTGTTAACCCTCCAGAACCTGAAACAAAGACAACTACTGCACAAGAAGTAAGTAAACCACCTGTGGTTAGCAAAGCAAATGTTGCCTCTAGTCCAGAAACCGAAGATGCCCCTCCTGTCTTAGAGGCTGAGCCACCTCAATCACATTTGCCTCCTACCAACCAAGAACCAGCTGCCCAACCACCAGTTCTTGTTCCACAGCCAGGCAAGCCATTGCCTGAGTTAGTGCCTATTCCTGCTGACGATTCCGGAAGCATGAAACGGTTTGGTAATACTTATCGAGCCCGCATGAAGCCTGGTCAGTGGGAAAAAATTGAAAGAGGTCTGGAGGCCATTCATGGTGAATCACATGATGAAGATGAAGAAAATACTGAAACAAAATCATCGCAAGCAGAAGAATTCCACATTGTTGATCTTGATATGAATGTAGAAGAAGTTCAAGAGACCCCAGCCACACCGCAGAAAAATGCCAGTTCCCAACCAGAATTTCATGTGGAGATACCATCAGAGGCAATTGAAGAAGAGACTACTGCACAACAATCTAGTCCAAAGAGTGTCATAGACAGCATCCTTGTTGATTGGAGTGGTGATGAAGATGATGTAGTTCCAGAAAAATCTGCCCAAAATGCCTCTGCAGTTAGTTCAGGACAACGGGCTGTAAGTGCTGGAAAAGATAAGGACAGTGTGAATGGATCTTCTCGACAAAAGCCTATTCAACGCGTTTCAAAAGCGCCATGCCTCTTTGGTGAAGATGAGGAAGGAGATGCTGCATCTACTATCAAGTTAAAACCTGAACCAGCACCATCACCTGCCCCCGCCCCCACCCCTGTTCCTGATACAGTGGTCATCAAGCAAGAGTCATTTTGGCCTGAACCAGCACCTGGAACTTCCACAACCTCAACTAGTGAGAAACCCTCTAGTGATGTTCCATGGAAGTGTTTTGTTTGTGGTAAACGAGGAAAGTCTTTGCCGAAATTCCTTGAACATAAAAAGCTGCATTTGAATGACCGCAAACTTGTGAGCTGTCCTAAATGCAGTGAAAGTTTTAGTAATATGGCTCTCTTGAAATCTCACATGAAATCATCCCATGGAGATGATGAGGAAGATGATGTTGTTGCAGAACAACAACAGAGACAGACACGTCGCAGGTCCAACAAACAACAAAGTCATATTGTGGATGTGGACCTCGCGCCTGCCACTGATGGACTGTACCATTGCAGCTTATGCCAGAGTGCATTCACAAACATTGAAAGTCTGTGCCAACACAAGTTAACTCACCAGAAAGGTGTAGAACCTGAAGTACGTTCTGACAAGTACAAGTGCACTTACTGCCGAAAGACTTTCTATGAGCACAAAGAGTTCCAAACCCACTTGGCTTCTCATCAAACTGGACCAAATTTGGGCATGTTCCAATGTGGTAAATGTGATATGAAAATGGTTAATCAAAAGGAGTTCATTGAGCATATTGAGTCTCATAATTCTGAGGATAGTTTTCAATGTGACCATTGCGATAAAGTTTTTGATACAAAGCATAAACTCAGAAGTCATCGCAGCACTGTTCATAAATCAACAGCATATGCCTGTCATTTATGTGACAAAGTTTGTCAAAAGAGGTGTGTTATTTTTCTTTGAAGCAATTCCCTTTATTATCAATTGTAAGGGAAACTAATTTTTTTAATACTTAACATTTTGTTTCAGGATAACACTTATTGAGCATTTGCGGAAACACACAGGTGATAATCCATTTGCTTGCCCTGTGTGTAATAAAAGATTCAATCGACTCGCAAACTACAAGGCTCATATGACCATTCATGAAAACGCTCGCCGATATGAATGTCCTTACTGTGGGAAACGTTTCAATCGACAAAGTATCCAGCAGCGGCATATTAAAACCCACACTAGTGAGCAATCACGAAAGCATAGATGCAGAGTATGCAACCTTACATTTGGATTGGTGAGTACAAAGGCCTAGTCTAGTGCCTTCTGGGCTCAAAGATTTAATTTATATTATGTTTGATACATTGTGAATTGGTATTGAAAATTGACTATCCCACAGGCTACAGAAATGTTCACTCATCGAAGACTGCATACTCGAGATGAAGTTGAGCGTGCCACATGGGAAGACGAGAAGCTAAGATTGGCCCTGACATCATTTCCATGTAAAGTCTGTCAGCTTCCTTTTAATACAGTTGAGGAAGTCTTAGCGCACATGCCGTCACATACTGATGATGAACGAGACATTGCTGCAAAATTAAAGAATCCACGTCTTGAATGTGACATTTGTGGTAAAGTTCTTAACAGTAAAAGAACATTCAATGCTCACCGGTCATCTCATATTGATGGGAAACCATATGTTTGTAAGATCTGTTCAAAGGGATACGCCACATCAACAGGTCTCAATTACCACATGCTTTCTCATACCGGAGAAAGACCTTTCCCCTGTACATTCTGCAATAAGGGGTATAAAAATAGCACTGATTTGAAGGTTCACATGCGTCAGCATACTGGTGAATTCCCGTACAAGTGTAATCTATGTAACAAAGCCTTCCGTTCAGCATCCAGTCTTCAGAAGCATGGTTTCGTACATACGGAGAATAGACCTTTCAAGTGTCAATACTGCAACATGTCATTCAAGCGAGAAAGCACGAAGCACAACCATGAGCGCATTCACACCAATGATCGCCGCTTTAAATGCAAAGTGTGTTCACGTACTTTCATTCAAAAAGGAGCTTGTGATGCCCATGAAAGGTTGCACTTCCGCGGTGGCACGCAGGTATTCATGACTGTGGAAGAAGGAGCAGCTGCACAGAGGCTAGACTCCAGAAATGTGGAAGGGGCATCTGGTTCAAAAACAGACAAACATGATCTCTTTGATGATTTTGAAGAAGAAGATTTTGATGAAGACGATGAAGATGATGAAGATGAGTACATCATTTATGAAGATGATAGTGTTGAAGATGGGGATAATGATGACAGGGATGAGGAAGAAATGGCTGAATCAGAGAAGAACGTTCTCGTTGATCCTTTGAGAAACGATGAAGGCATTTCAAAGAGTCCTTACGATGAGTCTAAATCTAGCAATGGTGTAGATCTCCCTGTGACGAGCATTACTCCAGTACCAGTCACTTTATCAGGCGACTCTATTCCGAACATTGGTGACAATTCTGTTCATATTACTATACTTTAACATAAGTATCCTCTACCAATTGTTAAAATGCCAGCCAAGAGTGCTTTGACTAATGTCTCAAACTAGTTTGAAAACAATAAATGGGAAAATGTGAAGACATGTGCTATTTGATCAGCTTCGTGCCTCCCAAAAAATTGAGGGTAGTTATTGTGTGTATGTTTTCGTGTGTTTGTGTGTGTTGTTTGTTATGCATTGAACTATGGAACTGCATTTTTTCCATGTAAGTACTGCGGTATACTTCTCTGTGTATAGTTTGCGCGATTTTATAGAGCTGTCAAAAAATAGGCTTTATCTTAACTGAAAAATATTTTTATTTTGTATTGAATGTGTATAGAAATTCAATATGTCAGAAGAGTAACTAGCAATGGTGTCACTCATGGTAGTTTAACTCATGTTTGGCACTCTTGCTTTTTCTTTCAGTATAGACGTACATATTTTGTACAATGTGTGTATTTTAGGTAATTGCAAGTCATAGCTGTACTAGAAATGTAATCCTCTTTTTATAACTGAAGCGTGAAAGAAAAATCATTGTACAGTTCTGAGTCATAAATACAGACACATAATCTTAAGTATGAAGTGTAGTTGGAGAGAGGATGTTGCTTTATTCTCTAGACTGCCTTAGCATACAATTTTAATTGTAGAGGTTGGGCCATTGATTCAAAGGAGAGTTTCTTTTTACTTTCATTTAATGAATGCTTAGATTTTTAGGGGGATGCAGTGCTTCGTGATATATCTCATTTGTTTGTGTTCTGTTATTTTTACATGCAGTGAGTTTCGGTGACACATGCAACATGCCTCTCACTAGCTTAGACAATTAGTTCTTAAATCATTTGTTCATGCCTATAAATGTGTGCTAGATAGACAATTTACTGGTCACCTGGTCATGCACTGATAATGTTTTGGTTTTCTTAACTTGTACATACTTTTGGTGTTCTCATATGACTTTGTTTCCTCAATCAACTTCAAAGATTATTTCATAATTTTAGTTATTATGGTATATAAATCACTATGTGCAATAAAATAGCTGATGATTAAATTTTAGTTCTAACTCTTACTCTATCTTATGTTTCTGCACTTTTCCCTCTGAGGGAGATAGAAGTATGACATAATTGACCACCTTGAATTACATGTTATGTTTTAACTTTCCTGTATCTTCAATAACAAAGATGGCATGACAATTGACAATGAGTTTACAGACTACAGAAGAATCCTTGTTACTGACCATTTGATGTTTTATCAGTTATGTAACAAATATAATTTGAAATAAGAGTATCTGTGTTCATTATTTTATTATACCTTATCTAAGATAAAATGAACTCGTAGAATTTATATTTCCTTCCATTTATTTTACTCAACTACATTATTCATCAGGTACAGGCATTTGAGGGTCTGAATTGGCATCTTTTAATCCTGTCACCGGGGTCTCTGCCAAAATGCCATCTTGTTCAATAATTATTGCATGTTTTTTGCCAACAAGTACCATATCTTCACTGATTTCCTGAAAACAATAAACATTTGCAGTAGAAGTAACTATTCAGACATTGACAGCAAGTATTATTGTAAGATATTCTCACCATCAGATCTGGTTCACCAATGACACAGTCCACATCTTGCTGAATGAGAACCATGTGCTGCACCTCCTCGCACTGGGCACTATTGGCAGCATTGCCTCCATCTTGAGCAACTAGAATGTCTATTCTGTTTGATTCATCTTGGGCAAAAGATTCAACATCATCACTCCTCCAGTTTTTAATAACAGTCACATGCATATCGCTATCTACTGCTCTTGAATTTTTCATATCTGTGTGAGTCTTCTCGTGTTGCGAACATGATCCTTTCTGCGTAAAACGTTTATTACAAAATTTACAGGTATAAGGTTTTTCTCCAGTGTGGATGCGAATGTGAGTGACAAGGGTTTTTTTTCTCTTGAATGTCGCTGGGCAGTAACTGCATGAAAACATTCGAGAGTCTGAATGGGTTACAAGATGGAGACGCAAACTTGCTGCTGTGATAAAGCCCATTGAACAGATGCGGCATTTGTAAGGCTTTTCACCAGTGTGCTTCATTCGGTGGATCTTCTGGCTTATCCTGGTCTTAAAACCTTCAGGACATAAATCGCACTTAAATGGGCGTTCACCTGTGTGAGTATACATATGGTACTCGAGAGCAAATTTTGTGGAGTAGATGTTGGAACATTCCTGACATTGATACTGGGTGTTGCCAGTATGGAGAAGCATGTGCCTATCATAATTTTTCTTGTTGTACACCTGAAAAAGAACAAGATATTAAATAAAAAGGTAGCGAGGCTTTGTTACAAGGCAAAACATTCGAAATTTGAATATATTACCTCTTTACCACAGTTTGGACACACATAAGCTCCACCATCTACGTGACCAGCTTTCTTAGCTTCTTCAACTTCTACTGCAGTGTGAGACTCTTTTCTATGCTGTGACAGTTCAACAACACGATCAAACTTCATCCCACAAACTTTGCAAGAAAACTGTTTTGAGGTCTGTCAAAAAATATTTTTGTAAAAAAATCAATTATAATTTTGCACATATAAAAATTTAAAGGAAAAAACAAACAAACATTGAAGCAAATTCGTACTAACACCATCAGCGATTAACTGGGTCTGCTCTGCATCTTTTTCTTCTTTACTGTGCATGGCTCTGTGGCAATGCATTTCTTCTCTGGATGAGAATTTTTCCTTGCATATGCTAAAGCAAAAAAAATTTTTTATTAAGGTTTTTTAACTTTTTTTTTTTTTAAGTTGATTTAGTCCAATAATGATATAAATTTGAAGCAAAGTACGATGGACTTTACCTGCATTGCAATTTAGTTCCACCACAAGAAGTCTCATGTCTTCTTAAGTTTGATGGACGGTTGAATGTTTGACCACACAGTGAACACACATATCGTTTCTTTCCTTCATGTGCAGCCATATGTAAGCGGAAACCACTATCTGTTGAAAATTGTTTTCCACATTTGACACACATAAATGGCCTTTCTCCTGTATGTGTTCTTAGATGTATTTTCATCCGGGACCTTTGCAAAAGTAGATTAGATTAGATGAATAAGATGCAAGAGTGGGAGGAATTTAGGAAGGAAACCATGCTATACCTTAATTTAAAACTTCTTGGACAATATGGGCACTGCAGGTATTTTTTTCTCTCATGCTTTAGAAGATGAGGCTGAAGATGCACTTGCGATCGGAAATGAGCCCCACAAATATGGCACTTGACGGAATTGGTATGCGACAAGAGGTGCTCACGGAAGTCTTTAACATCAGTAAACACTTCAGGGCATGTGAGGCAAGTCAGTTGCTTTGGAGAAGGAACTGTTTTTGGCAAAAAGACGGAGTGACAGAGATGGTCTTTAAGCCAAACTTCACTTCCAAAAGTCAGTTTACATCTGGAGCATTCCAGTGTGTCAGAACTAGAAAATGCCATTCCAACACGTTCTTTGTGTCTTTGCTTGCAATGATTATTCAAACCCATTTTTGATTTGGCCTTCATTCCACAAAAGCCACAACGCCAATGAACCTAGAAGTGCAAATAATTTAATTTCAAAATAATCTGAAAAGGATCTACTGCATCAACTGCATATTCAATGTAAAATAATTACCTCAGCATTTACAGTGTTTCTTACTACGCCATTGGGTGAAGTCAATTTATCATTGGAATTCTTCTTGCGGCCGTATGATTTAGAAACCACTTTAGTGCTACCTTTAGGTTTTGAAGAGTTTTGTACATCCACATTGAGTCCACACGAAACGTCCTCTAGGTCCAAATTCTGCATAGGCACTGAACTATCTGACACATGCTGTCTTACTGATGTAGAGTGGTCTTTGACATGTTGTTTTAAGTGTTCATTATACTTGTTTCTCTGATCTGCACTGTACACAAAGTCACAGTCACTGCATTTTAACAATTTTCCTGACAAAAAAAAGGGAACAAAGTTTGTATTAATTAATAATTCGCAGTAGCCCAATACAAAGTATGTTAATCTTCTTACCAGGATGAGACTTAATTTGATGAAGCAATAACAAATATGCATTACTATCAGTCATGTCACAATGGAGACAGCGATATAATTTTTTTTCTCTGTTTAAAGATTCATTTGGTGGATCCTGAGAAGCTTCACTTGTCTCCACATTAACTAATTGGTCTTCAATCAATGTGTTCACTTCCAATTCCTTTTCCTCATCCCTGAAAAAAATTATTCTCATCTAAAACTTTCAAGCATAATAACAGCCCAAACAAACTGATACAAAATAAAGTTTGATTCACCTTTCAACTGAAGGTACAAGCTTAAAAGAGGATTCACAGACTTCTTCATTTGGGACTCCATAACTTTCCAGCTAAACACAGGAGAAAAAGGTTAATTTCAAGGAATTTCTGTGGCTTAGAAGAAATAAATATTAGTCACGCACACAACTCACTTCAGTGAAGTCTACTTCAACATCCTGAAGCATTTGCTGCATCTTTTCATTCGCTTTCACACATACTTCTACAAGGTTGTGGATTGAGGATAGAGTCTCAATGCATGCAGCACAAATTGTAATTGGTAAGAGGTCAGTCGGAGTAACCTACATCAAATAGTATAAAGAAAACAATCATTCAGCAAGAGATAAAATGATTGGACGTTTTTAATAAGAGATGACATACCAAAATAGGTAGATGATTGTTAATCAGGTCGACAATCCCTTCGCTTTGACCAGAAGAATCAAATACAGGTGTTAATTCACAGCTCGATGAGGCACACACTCGACACATTCCTTCCAAGCGTTGTTCTTCTCCTAGATCATATTCCACACAGGCATAAGTGGTATTGTGGTCCATTTTCTAATTTTCAGCTGCAAAATTTAAAAGTTGAGTCAGTTGGGTTTGATATGTTGTGAAAGGGGTGACATCGTGCAAACACATTAAGAAACAAATGGAAGTGACACTAAAATTGGTAGATGAACAGAGTTTGTTTATTTATTTCCATTCAATAAAGAATTTGTAGGTTAAAATTCTAGTTTGAAATACAATTGCAACAATTAATAATCGACTAGCTACTTTACCTTTGAATGGCCAAGATTACAAAATTTTTTATTGCAATGGCTAGAAGGTTAAAACATGTTTCCTGTCTTGCCTCATCGAAGTTGTTGGATTTTGAAGAGAGATTCAGAGAGAATACGAAGAGAGGAAACTCGTGCCGAGAGAGACAGAGACTCTCTATCGTTCTCTCTCTCTCTCTCTCTCTCTCTAATCTCTCCAGCCGCCGGGCCTGACGTTATTTGCAGAGGGATGCACTGTTGGCAGGTGGTGCACGTAAATAAGGAAGGACTTAACCCCCACAAGATTGAAGTAAAATCTCGCCCAGTGAGAATTCATCGGACTGTTTTATTTGTTCATAAAAGAAGACATGGCCACTGAAGTTTCTATAACCCCGCCGCAAAGTCCGGAGAAGAAAATTGGAAATGAAGAGGAAGACGACGTGGTGGATCCGTGGAACGTCGTCAGCAAGTCTCAAACCGGGGTCGATTACGACAAATTAATCAGTGAGTTCTCTTTGAATAAGATCACTATCAGTCGGAGGGGATCAGAACCTTGTCCACCATTTTTATAGAAATCATTATTCTACATGAATAATTTGTTGTCACCCATATTTCCTTTCACCTGATTGGGGTTGCCAGCATACATGTGTACGAATGACCCTCGAATCTTATCTTTAATTTTGCTTGCAGAGAAATTTGGAAGTTCCAAGGTAGATGCTGAACTGCTACAAAGGATTGAGAAGGTAACGGGGAAACGACCCCATCACCTCTTGAGGAGGGGCATGTTTATGTCCCACAGAGACATGCACACTATTTTGAATGAAGTTGAAAAAGGAAAGCCGTTTTATTTGTACACTGGTCGTGGTCCATCTTCTGATGCGATGCATATGGGTCATCTTATACCTTTCTTCTTTACCAAGTAATTATAATGTCTCTGTTTTAAAGTTTTTGAAAAGTTATTACACAATTGATGGTAATATTGCCTTTCATCTTGGCAGGTGGCTTCAGGAGGTATTTGATGTACCCTTAGTTATCCAGCTAACTGATGATGAGAAGTTCCTTTGGAAAGATCTCGACATGGACAAAGCCAGAAAGCTTGCAGTTGAAAATGCTAAAGACATAATTGCTTGTGGATTTGATGTTGATAAGACCTTCATATTTGCTGATTTGGACTTCATAGGGTATAAAAACTAACATCTCCTTTTTTTTCTGACTCTAACGTTTGAGGCACTTACAGTATTTCATATTGTTTTATCTGTCTTTTTCAGTCAATGTCCGGAATTCTATCAGAATATGGTGCGCATTCAGAAATGTGTGACATTTAATCAGGTGAAAGGTATCTTTGGATTTGGGGACAGCGATTGCATAGGAAAGATCAGTTTTCCTGCGGTTCAGGCTACTCCTTGTCTCTCTTCCTCATTTCCATTTATATTTAATAAGGCAAAACTACCTTGTCTTATTCCTTGTGCAATTGATCAGGTAACTATTTATCTATCAGATATTACGGTAACTGTAAAAAAATGGTCAATATCTCAAAGTTTTGTCACGGTTGTCTTCCAGGATCCTTACTTCAGGATGACTAGGGATGTTGCACCACGTCTTGGGGCCCAGAAGCCTGCTCTGATTCATTCAGTGTTCTTCCCTGCTCTACAAGGAGCCATGACCAAAATGTCTGCTTCGGATAATAACTCTGCTATTTTTCTAAATGACACACCCAAACAAATCAAGAACAAGGTATGCACTGCCTACAGAGGTCTCTTTGAAACAATGTTCAAAGTCTATTTTTTTCTGTCTGCCCTCCATTGTAAATGTTTCTGTTTCACAGGTTAACAAGCATGCATTCTCTGGTGGGCAAGCCACTATTGAAGAGCACAGAGAGAAAGGTGGTAACTGTGATGTTGATATAGCTTACCAGTATCTCACCTTCTTTTTAGAAGATGATGAAAGACTAGAGCAAATTCGGAAGGTAAGGGTTGTACTTCTTCACTCATCTATCTATCTCATCTCTTGTGAATGTGTGGTTTATCCAGATAATACCTTTGCTTCATCTTTCAGGATTACTCTAGTGGTGCTATGCTGACTGGTGAGATAAAGAAACTTCTTATTGATACAATCACTCCGATTGTCACTGAACATCAAGAGCGAAGAAAAACTATCACAGACGAAACTGTAAAAGAATTTATGAGGCCTCGGAAACTAAAGTATACCTATTAAGTAAAATGGAAATTGATGATGTCTTCTTATTTTAATATTGACATTATTTGATGGTACTGTCAAATATTGTACTTACTGCTATCAATTATTTCAAAATCAATTGGCAGGGCTTTATCCTTTTTGTAGGGTTACCCATGTCTCTTTTTGAGAAAAGTATTTGGACAGTATTTAACAGTTTTGTAGGAAGTGGACATCTGTTTGAGAATGAATGTATTTATTTATTGATGGAATTTAGAACGTGATGAATTGCTGTAAACAAGGAAGATTGCACTTACTTAGCCATTAAAAAATGTCTTGTAAGGAAAATAAACTTTTCTGTGATCATAATGGTTGCTGACACATTTCAATTACATTACTTTTGTATCCTTTCTCTATCATCAAAACACTGTAAGGGAAGTCCACTTGATAAGAAAGAACAGCGATGGAGCAGGGGCTCGCAGCTACCTCGAGCAGGGAACCTCCCTTGAACAAAAGGACCTGTCTCCCCCGCCCCCTCCCCTCCCCTCCCCACTACTTGTTTAGGTTGTCTGCAGTCGCACCGTGCATTCACTGCACACCTCACAATGTCTGCAATACGACGTTTAATGCATATAGTTAATCCTTCCGTCAATGCCCTATTGAGGAAACCTGGTAGCAACCTATTAAATCAGAACTTTTTATCGAACAATCGTAAGTAATTCCGAAAGTTTTTTTCCAGCCAGATACCCGCTTATAGGTTAGACGGTTAAGGTGGTGAAGTACTTCTGAGGACTAAGATGCTTGTATAAAATTTCTTTTTACATTTAGAATCTATTTGTTTGGAGTGACTTCCTTGTTTCACTTCGTTGCCATCAGTTCCTGCGTGCTGAAGATTGGATTGTCTTTCCGTTATGGAGGGACCTCAACTTCAGACACTACCATGTCTCGTACTTTGTTTCAGAGTCCCTACCCAGTCTGACATCGTTTTTAGGCTTAAAAACTCTTTCACCTGTCAGTAGAGCTGCCAAGGCCTTTCCAAAGACACCATCTCACCAATCAACTGTTGTAGATACCTCTGTAGATGATGAACGTACCATTGAAGGTAACTTCCAAGCTCTTCTCGTGTTCCATCCAAAGTAATGTTCAATGGTCTTTCATCTGCCTTCATATTTTTGCAGAGGTCATATCCAAAGTGAACTCCCAAATAGAAAACAAAAGCCATGGCCGTTTATTTGCAATCATTCAACTTGCCAATCGGCAGTGGAAAATAACACCTGAGGATGTAGTTGTTGTTGAAGGCCACTGGCCTCCAAACGTTGGAGATTCCATCAGATTGGAAAAGGTAATTGCTAGCTTTCATGATTTCAGATTGATGTTGACAAGTTGTTCTAGCTATTGCTCTTCTCTTCCATCAGGTCCTTTTAGTTGGGTCTTCCGACTTTACCTTGGTTGGAATGCCACTTCTCCGACCAGATTTAGTCAATATCCAGGCCACTGTTGTGGAAAAGCGACTTTCACACACGAAAACAAATTTCAAGAAGAAAAGGAGGAAGCAATACCAACGAATTAATTGTATGTAATATGTTTGGGGGAACAAAAAATATCTCTCATGATTAAAAGTATGTCTAATGGAATTCCTTTTTTCTATCAGTTTATAGATATCAACACACAATGATACGGATCAACTCGATCACTCTGAGTGCAGTGAATGAGAAGAAGGACCTGGAAGGAGTAGATGGGAGAGTTTTCTGATTTAGTAATATTGCTTTTAGTATCAATGTGTGAACTCAAGCGCTGTAAATGGTCTCTATTAAATTCAGTTATCAATAAACTATAATTTTATTTAACAATTCAATAGATAAATTTCATAAATGCATTGTAATACAAAACTTCATTTTTGATGTCCATAAATAAATCCAATTTGTCAGCCATTTAAAATTTTTAACATAATCTATATAAACTAGTTACTTAAAACTCACATAAAGATTTCTTTGATAACAATGGAACAATATTAATAATGTGAGCAACAACAAAGCATACATTGCTTGATTTATAACCTCTACAAAGAGATCAATTTTCTAAAATTATTGACCAGCGCATAATATTGCACTACTATTTAACTACATGCGAACTACTGAACAAATCAGCACTCAGCTGCAACAACGTTGGTCAGTTGAAATTTTTCCCAACTTACACACAAAAAAAAAACACTTACTTACGCACAACACTATTTACCACAGTTGTGGGAATAAAAGGGACTAGACGAACAACATTTCCAACTTTAATGGCTCTATACTTGCCTGGAACTACTGGGGCAGAAAGTGCACCTTGGTTTGGGGACCCAATATTAGCTCTATTCAAGCTGCTAAGCATTACATTGGGAACAGATTGAACAATGGGCTTGTTATTGTTAATAAAATCTGCTTTGGCAGAAGTTAAAAGGATTTGAGAATCCGCTTTTGATCCGCCCACTTGACTTTGTTGAGTGGGAGTCCAAATAATTTACTCAAAGTTTGGGCTTGTTTAGGAGTTATGTTGCGAAGATTAAGAGGAGATTCCTTCATAACTTTCCTTGGCATAGCATTTACAGGCACTTCAACTAGCTTCCTTGTTATTGTAAAACTTTTACTCTTAGAATCTGTTAAAGTAATGCAAACACTTTTCTTGCTTATCAGAGAAAGTTCATCCCCAGGAACCTTCTCATTTTCAGGACACAAAGTATGATTAGAATTTTGTCTATCGGGCACAGCTGATTGCGGTGCAGCATTAGGTTGAATGCATGAATCAGAATGACAGCGTGAAAACGAAAGTTTCTTTCGTGCATTTGAAACTTTTTGAGCAGCAACTAGCTCCTCATTAGAACGGATCTTCTCCAACTCCTGGCCTGCAACGTGCAGGATATCATCCAGGGAGCATTGATACTGGGAGTGGTTTGATTCCTGGGACACATGTCTGGCAGACACATTTTGAGAAGTTGCGCATCTCCCATAGCTTGGATCCAGGTTGTATTCACTTGATACTCTGGGAAACTTCTCAGGGGGACCTGAAATTAAGTTAAAGAAAATGAGAATAATTTAACTTTAATAGAAGAGGCTGATAAACTCCACATATGAATGATAGCTTTACCTCCTCTCAATTTGGTATCCTTCCTCTTATGACTAATGCTGACTTTATTTTCTACTCCCTCATCTTCAAAGGATGATGAGAACAGATTCTTGAAGTTAAACAACTGATTACCTAAAAAAAAATGTTCATTGAAGGATTGTTTTTAACTTTGTTACAACCACAATACAATTTTCAAGCAAGGGTCACTTACTCTGGCCAGCTTTCATTCGCACCACTGGTCCAGTATAAACAAATACAGGTTTCCTCATAGAATTCGCTGCAGTTTCAATCTTAGAAACCAGCCCAAGGGACGTCAAAACATTGGCAATGTCATAGAGCCGTCGTACTTTGGTTTTAAGTCTTAACATGCATTTGCAGACCTTGCTGCCAGCCTCACATGGCTTGTCAGAGGCTCCCTTGTGACACTCCACATTAACTCCCCTCTCTGCAGGATCTGCGGCTTCACTAACAAGCATCCTTGTCGCTAGATCCAAGTTGATTTTGGCACTTGACTAAAATTCCAAACAGAGAAAATAAAAATAACTATGAAATAGGAGTCAACTTTTACATAACTAAAGAGCATGAATCAGTCCAATAGGACTCAGAATACAAACCTGAGGGGATGCCAGGAACAGCATAATAAATTTAAGGCACATAACACCAAGTGTACGTTCATCAGTGAAGAAGCCATCTCCTGATCTAGAGTCCGATGTGTCGCCACCTAAAACAAATAACGAAATGTTAGCAGAGGCCTGAGCAAACTATTTAGAGATACGTACTTCTGTTAATTGTTTACATTTGAGGACTTAAAAGTAACACATACCAGAACTAACTGATGAGCTGTCAAAATGGGCCGAGTCTCTTGAGCAGCAACAGGTTGGTCCCGATACAAGACGGAATCCACCTTTTTGCTTTGCTTGAATTTCCTGCAGCTGCAATAGTTTATAATAAATATTTGATTATTAATTTATTTACTTCTAAAGTATTAATGATAGAATGTGCTTACTTTTTCATCAATACCACAGTCAATGGCCTTGGATTTTAAAATAGATAGAGTTTTTTGGAGATTGCTGCAGCCATGCCAGTGGTATCTATTTTTGGCCACCTGTTAACAAGAAGTGTTGCAATTGTTATCTTCAGTTGAGCAAAATACTGGAGTTACATGAAGCCAAGTTATTTCATCTACCTTTGAAGCCATGTGAAGACTTTCCAAAATATTTATAATATCATAGATTCTTCTCTTCACAATACCCAACTGTTCAGCAACACGATCCAAACAAATTTCCATCACTGGACTGCCAGGTGGAAGATCCAGTGGAAACATAGCTAGAAACCTTAGGAAAGTAAAGCGACCCATATGTAAGATTATGTAAACAATTGAGCAACAAACAGAATGCAAGAATATAAAGCAGATTTAGTGGTGCAAAATTCAACCACTTTTCATGCGAGTCTTACCTGTCACACAAAATCCCGAGTGATTTATCCTTTCTTGTTTTCGGGTCAGCTTCTCTGAGCTGAACATCTCTGTTGGGGACTTTCACACTAACTGGAGATACAAGCTCACTTGCGACTTTCGTCAAAAGTTTTAGGTTGGCGGTGGGCGACACAGGAATGTTTGAAACATTATTGCACAGGGTACTCAGGGCCTTACGGTCAGGAGATCCTTGAAATTTGATCATGATGTCCCTGTAAATAAAATAAAACTTAACGTTGACATAAAGAAATTTTATAAAATTGTTCTAATGATTTGTCAATAAAAATAAAACTTCGACAGTTTATCTTTCAAAACAGAGAATGAGTCTTCCAGCAGTATGTGAGCAGGTATAACTACAGAAAAGACAAGCTAATCTATCCAAGTTCCATGCACCAAATTAATCATACTCTGGTATAAATCAACACTTCTTGAAAACACACAACCTGTCTGCCTCTATTGACAAAGTTACAGGTGCAATGGGTACCTGATGGTACCTGGCAGTAAGGGACCAACTAAAGCACCACCAAACTCAACACCAACGCACCGAGATAGTCACTGACGGTAAAGAAGTCTTCAAAAAACAGAATCATTCGATGCTTCGGCTAATCTTGGCTTCACTGACCGCGGTGTAGGTGCGTAATTGTAGATGCTAACCCAAGTTCGGGTAGCCCGAGCGTGGCTTGCCCGGCTTGGCGCTCTTTGAGCGTTGCGCCAAATCACCAACTGATTCGTAAACAGTCGGCGGGTGGGGTGGGAGGGCGCGGACTACTGCCGCAACGGCCCGGCGCCACGCGCACCGAAGGCGGCCCGAAGTGAGGCGGAAATGCCCGAATCACGGCGTCGGCGGCCCCGCGTAGCTCCGCGCGCGGGAGAGGGGGCGGGAGGGGCGTAGCGGGGCGGGGCGGGGCGGTGCCGACGGTTGGGGTCGAGGGGCTTGGGGCTCGGCTTGGGCCCCGTCTCCCCGCCCCGTCCCCGTCCCGTCGAAGGGCATACCGGCATCGAGACAAAAAGGCGGGTAGCTCATGGCGCGGCGCGGGGCTCGGGAGGGACTGTCCTTCATGGACCTTCCTGCAAGCGCTGCAAGCCGAGGACTGAGGACCCAGGCGGAAGGGTCTGCGTTGCTGTGCTGGAGCTGGAGGGAAATCCCAGCTCGGGGAGGTCCGGGCCTCGCTCGGCTCGGCGACCCTCCGATGCGGTTTATCCGTTCATTGAAATAGTCTTAAAATTTTAATCCTTGGGAAGTGGCGACCCAATGCGCGGTGAATGAAACAACGACGACTGATCCTCTCGCGACTTCCCGAGTAGGGTTGCTGGGACCGGGGAAAGTCCAGGACGCTGAGTACTAAACGTGGTTTATTTTCAAAAAAATACATAGAACTAATTTATTTGTCGGAGTCCGTCGATCGTGATCTCATCGGGCCGATTTCTTGTCGGTGGCGACTTGGTTGGTCGCGGTGCTGGGCCGTTGCGTGTCCGCGTCCTTGTCGCGGTGCTGCCCCTTCTTGGCGAGGTCCTCCCACAGGTTGACGGGCAGGGCGGCGATGGCCTCGGAGAAGCCGCGCGCCACCAGGCGGTCGATCTCCTGGGCGAACTGCGGCTTCACCTCGCGGATGATGTCATGCGCGTTCTCGTTCAGGAACGTGTTGACCGTCTCACCTGCGGGCAAAGGACAAAACGTGTAGGGGTCGAGTTTGATTTTTCATTCGCTGTCGCCGGTTAAGGGCGGGCCCTACTGCCTCAGCATTCGAGTGCCGCGTGAACAGGTAGGGCACCGCGGGGCGGGGAGGGCGGGGCGCGGCGCGCTGGCGACATGGCGTCCACGCCGCGAAGCGCATTTGCAAGCCGCGCGAGACACGCAGCGATTTTGCCGTTTTATGCTGCGCTGCGAAGCGCGAAGCATCGCGAAGTGCTGAGCGGTCGCGGCAGAGCGGCACCGCGCCAAAACGCCAAAACGCGGCGACGGCAAGGGGCCGAGCCTAAGCACCGCCAGGGCACCGCCATGGTGCCTTTGGCGCGCTTTGGCGGCCTTTGGCGGTCACCAGAAGTGAACCCAACCCCATCTCGTCACGGGCTGCGCCTTGGCTGCGCGCGCGTTTGCTGTGTCCACCCTGCTGCACCGCGCCCGCCGCGCCGCGTGCGTTCGCCTCCCCGTCGGCCTGCCCACCCGGCCGGCGGGCCTATCTCGCGGGTAAATCACGCATCGGCTCACAAATAAAGCGTCGGCGCGGGAAATTATGCGCGCCGTTTCGGGTGTCGGGCAGAGCTGGCAGAGCCGGGCAGAGCAGCGCGTCGTCGGGGTCGCCTGGCCCTGTCGCCGCCGCGGACGGTCCCAGCGCCTTCCCCTTATCAGGGCCTCTAATCAGTCCGAACGGCGAGGCCCTAGTCCGCCTGCCGCCCCCCGCCTCCTGGCTGCCTGGCCCGGCAGCACGGCGTCAGCGGCAGGACACTACGTGCGGGAGTACGGCACACCGTGGGACACCTGGGGCGCCGCCGCCGTGTCCTCCCCGATGAAATCACACGCAGGGAGCGGCCCGGCCTGGTTGGCCCGGTGCACTCCTGGAAATGTCCCCTCCCCCACCTTCCGTCTCCAGACCGGAAAAGGAGCGGCGGCGACGTCCTGCACAGTGTCCTGCGGGGCGACCGCGCGACCGCGGCCTGGGCGTCGTGGCGTTGTCGCGCGGGGAAGCGTGCGAAGCGCGCGAGGGGTTACTCTAGTACAACTCCCTGGCTGAATGGGATTCGCAGCCGTCGGCCGCGAAGGGCGCCGTCATACGGTGCATCACGCACCTGCGTCGGCCTCGTCGGCCTCGTCGGCGGAGGCGCGGAAAGGAGGGCGCGGCCGGGACGCACGTGTGCGCGGCGCGTCTAGGGACCTAGGGGGACCTGGGGGGACCTAGACCGAGTAGGCCTGCTTGACAACAAGGGGGAGGGGAGGGGGCAAGACCGGCAAGACGCGGGAACGGGAATGGCGCGAGGCGGTCCCGCCATGCCCGCCGTGCCCGCCACGCAGCAGGCCGATTCCGAACAGTGCTTTTCCTTCTCTCCCTCGCACCGTTTGGGCGTGCCGTTGGGGTGCGAGGGAGACAGAGCGACGACTCGCTGTTCCGAATCGGCCCGCGCGGCGCTACGGCCCTACCAGGCCCTACGCGCGCCAAGCTCGTCTCCCGCGCGACGCCGGGAGCGCTGAGCCCGTAGGAGCCCGCGGCTTGGCGCGGGGGCGCGGGCTACGCGCGTGTGGGCCGGGACCGCGGGGCGGGAAACCCGGCTCGCGCCACGCCGCGCCACGCAGCGCCACGACGGCCGCCTCTGCCGCTCGCCGTCGACAAGGTGCCGCACTCGGTGCCGCATGACGGCATGACGCATTACGTGTACGTGGCGGCGTGGCGGAGCCCCTCTAGCCCTAGCCCGCCCTGTCGCCGGCCCGCCAGCCGTGCACCGCACACCGCGCACGACTCATACACGACAAGCTCGACAAGCTGGTGCGAATGGGGCGGAGGGGGAGGGAGGACTCGACGGGGCTAGACGGGGCTCGTCCGCCGGCCGGAGCACCTGAGACCGGGGCACCTCGGGCACCTGCTCGACAGCCGAAACTATTATTCGAAATTAATGCAGATTTTACGAGTCAACGCACCGTGTGAATCGGCTGGAGTCGGCAATGAAAACAAACGGTCGGTAGCTCTGGGCTGGAAGGCACCCCGTGCGTGAAGATCGCTGCATTATACTCGCAATTAGTGAAAGAGTTTGGTGCGAGTGTGTCGGCGGTCAGCCTCGCGGCCCGCCCAACGGACTCGGCGCGAGGGAAAAATGTGGAATCGGGACGCCGGGACTCGAACCCACGGCAAGTGAACCGCGCCGAGTCCGTCACGCCTCCCCGGAAGACCGGAAGTGAACCTGGGGAGCGCGGATCGGCGGGTGGGTGCTCCTTGGGCCGCGGGACAGGAAACGCGGCGCGGTGTTGGTATTCGAACCTCCGGCCTCCGGCAAGGTGGCGTGGCGCGGACTCTCTCGATTAGCCGCGAAAATGACACGCCACTGCAGGCGAGCGACGCGCGCGCGACGCCGGTGGCTTTTATGACAGGTCCGCAGTCGGATTCAATTTCAGAATGCATCACGACGTGATGGGTGGCGGCGGAGAGTCGCGTCTCCTGTGTCGCCTCGCCCCGCCCCGCCACGACACGCCGCATCGCGGAAACGGCCACACTCTCGGAAATTATAAATAAATTTCATTTGGAAGCCGAGAAGTCATTGGAGGAGACAGTGTCGCCATGGAACCAGCAGGGCAAGCCATGGGCAAGCCATGGGGCTCCAAGCCCCGCTTTCTAATTAACGGGGTCACAGATAAGCGAGATGTCGGAACTCGGGACGGACTCGCACTCGGCCTCCGGGTCCTGCGCACTATCTCGGCGTGCCCCGCCCGCCGTTATCGCCACACCACGGACACCGAGACGGACACCCCCACACTATTTATCCCCGGTGTTGTCGCTCGCGCTGCTGCTTCGGAGCCCTGCGAACCCCAGCTAGGCGAGCAAGCCTGCAGACTGTCGCTGTCTCTCTCTCTCCCTTACGGGACGCCCCATGAGTGCGAGAGAGACAGGGCGGCACTCACCGAGGAACTCGTCGTTGTTGAACAGCTTCTCGAGGCGCAGCTGCACCTTGGTGATGTCGAAGTCGGTCTGCGTGTGCGAGAGGTGCAGGCAGCCCGGGTTGGCGGGCCCCTCCGTGTGCACCACCTCCAGCGTGTTGTACGAGTCGGCCTTCACGTCCTCTGCAACAGGGTCGTCCCGGTTAGCCGAGCGCGCTAGGGGGCGGTGCGGTGCGAGCCAGCACCTGGGTTCAACGCCCGCCGCGGGCCGAACTTACGGAAAACCGCCCAGAAGGGCCCGTTGCCCTTGATGGGGATGAGCAGCAGGTTGCCGAAGATGTTGTACTCGCCCGTGACGCGCAGCTTGGGGAACTGCAGCCCGATGGAGAATTTGTACTTCTCGGGGTTGGACCTGGAACCCGACGAATAGGGCGTTCATGTCCTGCTCCGGGAACAACGGCGGGGGCGTTCCCTCGCCGGCAAACGAAAACAAAAAACAACGCCCGGCCCGCGTGTCCCGTAATTGTTTTGCTCGACGCGACAGACAAACACGCCGCGTGACGCCAGGACGAAAGGGACGGCCCTTGCTGTTTGTCCGGGAAGTCCGCAGTCCGGCATCCTGGCCTCCACGCCCCTCGTCCAGACTGTCCAGACGGCCGCACACGCTTGGCGCTCGCAACCCCTAACGGGACGAGCTTTGTCACGGCGAGGAAAGGGCGCGGAAGAGAAAGAGAAAAGCCCTTATCTGCGTCCCCGCCATCGCGCCATCGCGCCATCGCGCGCCAGGCCAGGCCGGACGCCTCCGAAGAATGACAACACGACTGGCTGACTGGCGGACGAAAGGGCCTGCGCCCTTTAAGGCCCTTTTCGGACGCAGCCGGCCCTTTTGCGTCGAGTTGCAGACTTACTGGGGCTTACGGATTGTGTGTGCGTGTATTGACGGGCGCGCCGAGGGCTGGGCCGGAGGCCGGGCTTGTCTGCCAACCTACGCAACCTACTTTACGTAAGTGATGGTGTAGTTGGACAGCCCGGAGACTTTGAGGTCCTTGAACGTGGCGCGGATCCGGGTGTTCCCGCCGCCCTGGTTTAGGGAAATGCCCTTGATGGCCAGGGGCTCCAGCACGGGGATGTTCCACTCGGGGATGCCTGCAAGCAGTCGAGGGTTCGAGTACCACCGGGAGAGCGACCCAGAACCGTTAGTCGGGCTTTCGTTAGTGGACTCACCGTCTGGGAGGTAGGACCGCATGCTATTCAGGATGTGGTACAGACACTGGTCCAGCGAGTCTTGATCTTTGACGTTGCATTGCTTCAGTATGTCCTCTGGAAAAGGCAAAGGCTATCGCATGAGACGCGCGCGGTGGGCCAGCGAACCGCAGCGAACCACCGGCAGGGAATGCCAACGGCTCCAAAACAGCCGCCACGCTGAAAAAAGCGGGACGTGGTCGGGAGTCGAACCCGCAGCCCGCAGCCAGGGTCTCGGACTCACCGTAGAAAGGCGGCACGGGCCCGCCGTGGACGGTCCCGCAGGTGACCGCCAGGCAGAGCAGCGCGGCGGCGGCGCTCACGAGGGTCTTGGTGTCCATGGCGAGTCAGAAAGATACTGTGCGCGTGGGACGCGCTGCATGGGGTGGACGGGCCTAACTAAGTGCAGTGGTGTGCTCAATAATTGGGTCACGCACGACTAGAACGGCAGCATCAGCTTCTCGTCGACGTCGACGTGCACCCCCGCGGACTCGGGGCGGGGGCGGCCACCGTGCCTCCGTCCGTCGACCCCGCGCCTGGCTGGCTGGCTGCGTGTGGGGCGGCTTCGGCTGGCTTCGGCTTCGCAGTGTAGTCACTCGGACGTCTCCGCACCGCTCCCCCCTAACTCGCTTCGCGCATCGCCCGACTGGTAGGCAACCCATTCGACACGGAAGCACGTTTGGTTGCGGCGGGCCTCCCGGTGTGCGTGGTGCAAATAAGGCCGCCCCCACCCACTCCTTATTTGCAGGCCAGTCTCACCGCCGCGCAGCAAATCCCATTCCAGTTCGCTGCCGGTTTCTCGTTTCTCCCCTCCGCGTGTGAATGTGAATGAACCATCATCATACACGGGCAGCCGAATTTTTACATGTGGCGTTCGAAAGCTGATGCAATAGTAGCGGACCAATAATTTCTGTAAACATGGCGGAAAACGACGACTCGGTAATGTGCAATTCATATCGATAGAACTCTAACTGAGGCCCTTTTAAGGCCGGGAACGGGTTCCTTACCCAATGTGAAAGCATCACCTTGGTCCTTGGCGACCAACCTCCTAGCGATATTGGCCCGATTTCATCATTCTGGGCACCCCTATCGTCCTTTCTCGGGCTGGAATTTTGTTTGCGATGAAGCCAGAGCTCTAGATTTTGATCTACTACGCCCAGTCTAGTCGGTGATGTGCTTTCGGGTGGCGACCTATAACCTCACTCTCTCCAGATGGCTCCAGACAATCTCCAAGTAACATTACACAGTGCCAATTTATGGAAGTACTATGGGCATATACCTGAATTTGTACTGTTTCTGTACTCAGTGATTTTCTCTGTTCATGACACTCCTCCATTTCCATCATACTCGGTGGTTGCCATTATTTTGGTAATCCAAGCTGTTGCAACAATTGTCACTTCACTGATCCGTTGATCTTTTTTGTCTCATGAACAGGGTTTACTTTGTAAAGATCTTGTGATAGTTTTGTGCTATTTATAGTGTGATCAAAAATGATGCCCTGGTCATAGTTTTAGTTTAATACTGTGGGTCCCTTGATTAAAATATCTAATCCCAGCATAACTGACCTTAATTTTTTTTCATTTCAAAGGTATTTGATCCTAGCCTGCTGAAAAAGAAGAAAAAGAAGAAGACCACTTTTGATGTAGATGCAGCCATGGCAGAGGGATCTCCTACCGAAGCAGGTGACAACACTGACAAGGAGAACACAGAACCAGCTTCCTATGCCGACAATGTGGACTTGGATATGGATGGTATGCTTAGTTGCTTTTCCCTGTCATAGTTCGAAGTGTCAGTTACTGTGTTAATTTCTAATACCCTAATTTTCCTCAACAGATTTAGAAAGTTTCGGTAAAAAGAAGAAAAAGAAGAAGAAGCCATTCAATCTGGAAGAATTAGACAGTGCGTTACCATCAGATACAACTGTGGTGGAGCCAAGTGAACCTGCTCAGGAAGATGCTGTTGAAGTTCGTAACTTTTTCCTAACTTCTTACTTTGGCACGATTACCCGTATTGATAACATTTTTAAGTACGCCTGTTCTTTATTGTGCTATAGGATAGTTTTGACTATGATATGGACTTCAGCAAGACGAAAAAGAAAAAGAAGAAGAAGAAGGATATAGACGATTTAGTTGCTGAAGATGAGAAAGAAAAGGCTGAAGAAAAGGAAAATGGTATGTACAAGCTTATTTGTGTTCCCAAAACTCACTTTTAGAAACAGTGAAACAGCGATCTTTTTTTTGTATTGTCAAGAGATTCATCTTGCCATTTTTTCCTTAATCTCCTCTTACTTCATTATTTTATATGAAATGTTCTCATAAATTTAATTTGGAAATGAGAAAGCCTATGAAGCAATTTCTCTCTAAAATGATGTAACAGTTTTGTAATATTTTTCATGCTGCTTAGCTGTGGAAGGTATAAATGAGAGTGGTAAGTTAGGTGGAACAGAATTTTTCCTTTTGTAACTTGGTAACAATCGCTCTTCAGTCAGAAGCGGTCAGAAGCTGTTATTGTATGTTCCAAGTAGATTTTGAAAGCACTATTTACTTAGTTGGTTTTGACACATATTTGTGAATTTCCTCTGAATTCTGTGTTAGCACTTGTTTGCATAGAATTTAAGTTTTCTTTGTAATTAATTTTTAATTTTTTTTTTTTTTTTTAGAAAATGAGAACCAGACATGGGGTGGCTCAGATCGTGACTACACGTATGATGAGTTGCTGAAGCGTGTGTTTGAGATTATGCATGACAAGAACCCTGAAATGGCTGCAGGAAAGAAGCAGAAATTTGTTATGCGACCTCCCCAAGTTGTTCGAATTGGTACTAAGAAAACATCTTTTGCCAACTTTACAGAGATTTGTAAAACGTAAGTATTGCTTAATATAGCTTTGTTGATTTGAGGGAAGTGATTGTAGATGATTGTAGCTCACAATTTAAAAATTGCTTTACAGATTGCATCGACAACCGAAGCACTTGTTGGATTTCTTGTTAGCTGAATTGGGTACTAGTGGCTCTGTTGATGGAAATAGTCAACTGATTATCAAGGGTCGTTTCCAACAAAAACAAATAGAAAACGTTCTGAGACGTTATATTAAGGAATATGTTACATGTCACACTTGTCGATCACCGGATACCATTCTACAGAAGGATACCAGGCTTTTCTTCTTGCAGTGTGAAACTTGTGGATCCAGGTGCTCTGTTGCCTCTATCAAATCTGGTTTCCAGGTAATTTTCTGTTTGCATAGATTTAGGATGTTCTTTCTTCTTTCGTGAATTATGATTAATTTTAATTCTTTGTTTGCAGGCTGTCACTGGAAAGCGAGCTGCCATCCGAGCGAAAACAACTTGATGCTCTTATGTTGTTTCCAATTCCCCCTTCACTGTTTACATCTACATATGACCTGTCATATCTGGGTAAAAGTCCTTCATCACAATCCAGTGTTAAGTGGCTTTGTAAAAATCATAATTTATTTTGTTTGTCAGAACATAATAAGTCCTTTTTACACAAGTGTGGAAACTGTTGTTGTTGTTTGCGGATCTGGAGGATCAGTTGTGTTGGTTGGTTTTTTTTTCCACTTTTATTACTGTATGAACTTTATTGGTGAAAAAAAAAAAAGATCAAGAAGCCATCTCTGGGCAGAGATTCACATTTTGTATGACATTTTAAATGTAATTTTTGGTCATTTCAAACCAGTATTTGTATTTTCTACTTCAAAATTTGTGGAGGTTGGTGTTCAAATGACGAGAATTCTTTAAAATATATTCATGGTTCATAATTTGCCTTCAATTAATTTTTCCCTCTTTCCCTACCAAGCTTGAAATGCAGTGCTGCATGCACTGGATAGGATCCCATTCATCCTAGTTGTAGTAAATTCTGGCGAGTTTTTTTTTTTGCCTTCTGCCTGAATATTAGCGGAGGTGTCTGCCGCTGTATCAGAACCCATAACATTTAATGGGTGTGATGAAAGGAAAGAAATGAGTTCTGACCTGTTAAGTATCTAGTCATTTAATTTCATTAACATTACAAGAGAATTCTCACAGAGAATGTACATCAATATCACAGGTGGATAATAAAAGCAACAGTTGAAACTGTTATCAAAAAATAATGCTCACATTCAATCATGCAAACATAGATGGAAACCTTAAATTAAAACATTCATTGAACAACATTAAAACCATGAAACAGCAATGAGTTAATCAGCTGCAGTGTCAGAGGTATGCTGGAAGCAGGCATGGTCCCTTCAGCATATAATTTGAGGACTGAAGTTGTCTTCTCCAAAGGAAGAGTCTGATTCAAGACAACGATGAATCTTCTCTGGGGTTTTGTCATGCATGGCAGCATACCTTTTCTTGAGAACATTCATCAAAACTGTGTTGGGATCAGTGGCCGGAGGCGCTTGTCTGAGGGGTGTGCCACCAGGCGACCTGAAACAAATGAATAAATTTGTCAAATTTAACTCACAGTAACATATAGAAACAGCATTGTGATGGTGGACAAAAAGTACCTTTCGATGCGTCGGAGCTTCACTTTTCCCATGTCTTTTAATACATCTGCCATGTCAAATGGCATTTTCATACCAGGACGTTTAGGAGTGTTGGCATTCGCAGTCTGAGACTTGGTGATGACCAACTTGGGTGTGGAAAGGCTCATCATTGGGGGCAAAGGAGGTGGAGGAGGTGGGGGTGGGGGAGGAGGTGCTGGAGCAGATGGTGTAGATGAGGCCATTGGGGGAGGTTGAGGAATTCTTGGTGCCTCCCTGGTTTTGTCTAGAAAAGGACCAACAACATTATGAAATAATCGGAAATGTTGGAACAAGTAAGAAATATTAGAATGCTTACCTATTTGACACTGCGCAGCCATAATTCTTGACATTTGCTCCCTCAACTCTTGAAGTTCTCGTTCGAGATTGTCGATTTTCTGAGTCACCACTCCATCTTCTTTATTCTCTTCATTGGAACTGTTTTTATCATCAATACTTTCTGATACTGATCCAAACTCCAAAAGATCAGGCTTCACACTCATTTGAGAGGGGCTGAATTCACTGCAGAAGGTAAAAACAAACATGAATGGCAATCACAACAAAATTGTGAGAATTTGAAGAACAGAAAGGAAGGGGTGCTCACCATTTGCGGAAAATCAGTGTCTGTGCTGTCGTTTCAGGCACCTTTTCTTTGGCGTTGGACGCACCTTTGACATCATAAACATTACTTGGGTTCTTAACTATATTGAAAAATATCCTCGGTGCAGGCCTCAGAGGGAGCAAAACGCTAAGCATTCGCACCACACTCCTGTAGCGGCCGCATCTTCGAGACGTCTGGTCGCCCTGCCAAAGAAACGAAGAAGCCATGAATGAGTATGTTCACTATGAAACTTCTTAGACAGGAAATAAATTGACAGCTACGATGAGGACGAAGATATCGAAGGAAAACAAGATCACAAGGAAACATGGTCGTATTAACCCCAACAAAGCACCCGCACACATTGTCTCATGTCTTGAGACACACAGGTTTTCCAGGGACATGAGTCCGCCACAATCGCATTGGCCACAGAAGTGTACGTGAAGGCTACTTACCATGATGTTGAAATACATTTTGGGCCCTTTAAACTTTGCCAAATGACATTTTCCGTACAGTTTCCACAGGGACCGGCACTATTTGGCGCGACCAGAGTTTTGAATGAATAAACTCACTGCCTTGTTGCGTGTCGACCGTCTTTTCAGTTAACAGGGTGCTCACAACTTCAAAACAAAAATCATGCTCATAGGAACTTTGAAAAAATTCTAGGCACGCGTTGATGGGGAAAAATTAAAATTGCATTGATGTAAGAAATAATAAAGTTCTATTCAAAAGATGAAATTTGAAAGTCTGTTGAAACCAGAAAGTAATCTACTTGTTGCAGTGTTGGCTGCCAGCCACACGAGGGGTGAGGGGAAGGGTGAGGATGAGAGGGGAAGAGAGGTGTGTTTTGACCGAAAGTTCAACTTAGGTTATAGTTGTTTTCACATTTGTTGTTAAACAAGAGGGCTCTCTTCAGGCTTTAGTTCAAATTGTCTTAAAATGGTGAGTTGTCTTCTATCGCACAAGCCCAAATGATATCTGATGTGCGGTTGCTGTTCTTAAAATTTAAAAAGTCGTTAAATGATCTGCTGTGCCGGGTAGGAACCAGTCTATAGCTGTACTATTTTAATTTTATTTTGTATTTACAACAGCGGTTTTCGAAGAATGATTTTCCTTTTTCTTCTGTTTACACACGACTTTCCTTGATTTGGTGTCCTTGTTTCAGGTATTGCTTTTTGGCTGTCATTGATGTTGACATTCCGTTCTAACTTTTCCTATAACTTTTTTTGTTTCAGTTGTTCTACTCGTTCTTCAAGTCTTTAGTGGGGAAGGATGTTGTCGTGGAACTTAAAAATGACTTAAGGTACTATAATGGCCCTATTCTATCTTAGTAATTTTCAGTTGTGAATCATGTAGCCTGAAAAGTAATGTTTTCTTCCTTACAGCGTATGCGGAACCCTACATTCTGTTGACCAATACTTAAATATCAAGCTAACTGATATCAGTGTTACTGACCCCGATAAATATCCTCATATGGTATGCATTTTCATCACTTTCTATGTGGCCTTTTACTTTTCTCAGCAAACTGCGTATTAACCATGAATTTTTCTTTTCATTTCAGCTGTCAGTAAAGAATTGCTTCATTCGCGGCTCAGTAGTCAGATACGTTCAGTTACCTGCTGATGAAGTGGATACCCAGCTTTTACAAGATGCTGCTCGGAAAGAGGCTGCAGTACCAACTCGATAAGAAGAGACTACTCCCATTCTTCCTTTGCTTTATTTTTTTACCTGAATGAATTGTAATCCCATGTCATCTGGAATTATCAGATGGCAACAATCCAAAACTATTGATGTTCAGTTAGACACGAAGCAGTGATCTGTTCCTTTTGGTTCCTTTTCGTTTACTTGTATTTCATCAAGTGGTTAAATATTCCTAATGAAAGTTAAAAGCACTAAAAACTACTTGTTGGTTAACATATATGTGCTTTTCCTTCATCTTAGCCTTATCATTTTTTTACTTTTCTGTAAATTTCATTCTGTGTACCTGTTTGACTGTATTTTTGTTATAAGCAACTTGTGTTGTGTCTGTCATAGCACAGCTGTTCTGTCTTGTGTTTTGGGAGCTTAAAAACTCCCATCAAAAAATGTAGTGAGTTATGTTTAGTTGAAAAGTGAACTATTTGATTAATGACCACAGTTGTATGATTGAAAAAAACAAAATCTGAAATAAAAAAAAAAACATTGAAGAAAGTCTTTCAATTCATTCAATAACCTATTCACTTTGAAAGAGGGAATTGGTGTTAGGTGGGGTAATGAATTACATGAGGGAAGTTTCTGAAAGAGACATCAGAAAAGATGCTTTTTAATAACATTGTATCTATATATGAATTGTACAACAAAAATAAACACACAACATTGTGTTGTTACCCTTTACCACAATATCACTCAAATATATTAATACTGGTTCAGAAGACTAGAAAGAGGTGAATTTTTTTCTATGTTTATAGAAACAAGATGTTTCAGACAGGAAATCAATTACAATATTTCTAATTATGCAACAAATTTTACAAGTGGCTCCAGCTGGTCTTTCTTTGGCTAAGATAAATTCCATCTAGCTCTGAATAGATTGACATGGGAGCGACATTTCAAATGGTTGCATTTCTTGTCTTTAAACTCAAAAGTATGGCACAACATTATTTTTCCCTATAAATAAAATAAATTATAACGTACACCTGATTGCACTGTTGTGGCTTCTATTGCAAAAGAAATAACGTGCAGCACAAGTGCCCACTATTCCACCAATAAATTCCATTGAGAGTCAGGTCTGTCCCGACACTGGCCACTGCCTTGGCTCTTTTGTTGAAGAAGAAGCAAAGATTACTCAAGTACTGGAGCAGATTGAGGCCGGTGGGACTGGTAACACAGTAACACAGCACGATGGCCTCGGAGAGCCGAGCCACTCTTAGTAGGTAACTAACATTAGAAAGTCTCCGTTCGGGGAATGCAAAACCGCAGAAACTGGGGGACGGCCGGGACGGGACGCACTGCTGCCAGCCTCGGCCGCTCCGTCTCCGTCGCACTGCACTCACTAGCGTCACTAGCGTCTCTCCGAGAACGACGCGACAGCAGTGCCTCCCAGACCGTTTCTAGCCAGAGGCGCGACACGACACTGCCACTGAGTCTGGGCTGGAACACTGGAGCCACGGGGGGACACTGGGAGGGAAGGCCAGCGGCAACTGCGCGTTGCCGGCGGAGTGCGGACACCGGCGGACGACGAGACGACCCTCCGCGGCGCGGCGTCTGCGTGGGCAGCTACAAGGGGTGCAGGCCGTGCAGGCCGTGCAGGCCGTGCAGGCCCTGGACGGCCTGGACGAACTGCAGCGGGTTGCCGAGCTGCAGCAGCTGCATGGCGCCGATGGCGCGGTGCCGAGGGTCGCCGACGAGGCCGAGGGCGCTGCCGAGGGTGCCGAGCGCACCGGGGCCCGCAGCCACCGCAGCCGCCGCAGCCCGGGGTGGACCTCATTGCTCCGTGTTGAAGTACGAGTTCTGCATCAGGTACAGCTTGTCGATGGGGTTGACCTGCACGCCGCCGGGCGCGTGGCCGTGCGGGTGGCCGTGCGGGTGGCCGTGGCCGGGGTGCGGCGGCGGGTGGGCGGGTGCCATCTCCAGGTTGTGCAGCGACAGCGTGTCCGAGCCCGCCTCGTCCAGCGGCTCGAAGTTGGCACTGTCGTCCAGGGAGATGTCCGAGCTGCAGAAGCTCTCGCCGGAGTGGCCGGGGTAGGCGTCTGCAACAGGGCAAGGCCGGCGAGGCGCCGAGTTAGACTAGAGGCCTGAAGCACTTGAAACTCACACGCGCAGTGTCTAGCTCGCGTCCCGCCCCAGCGAAGGGAAGCACGACTCGCTTCGAGTGGCGGCGGCCGTCAATACTCCCCGCGGGGAGTGGCTTGGCGCGGGGTAGCGCCGCGTCCGAACAAACGTGGCCCCAATTAGCCCCTGCCTTTGTGTCTTTGTGCCTTTGTCCCTTTCCACCAAAGCGAGTCTACTGACCGTCGGGCGAGTAGGGCATGTTGGGGTTGAGCGGCTGCGCCGTGTGCGCGTAGGGGCCGGGGCCGTGGCCGGGGCCGTGGCCGGCGCCGTGCCCGAGCCCGGGGCCTGGGGGGCCGTGGCCGTCCGGGAGGCGGCCGAACTGACCTGCAGACACACAACAGCCGCATTGCGCATTACATCGGGCATGGGGTTGGCATCACCAACAGGGAAAAGGGAACAAGGACACAAGAGGTTACACCAGCAAAGGCGGTATTTGAACCGGGACCCGGAGCCGGCCGGCCGAGCCAGAGGGGAGGTCAGGAAGGTCCTCGCCGACGACGGACAGAACTCGCCAACAGCGTGCCGTCAACGACGACGGGGGAAAAACCGCGGCCCTGCACAGCGCGGCGGAGCGGAGGCACGGGCGCTTTCGTCGCGCTGTCTCCCTCGCACTCATGGGGGGTTGCACAGGGGTGCGAGAGAGACAGAGCGACGGCGTTCTCGTGAGGGTCCTATCGATCACGGAGCTCGGCAAGGCTGGGCAAGGCGCGGCGGTGCGGCGCGGTCCGCAAGGAGCAGCAGCTCCTCGGTCTCCTTGGCGCCGGCAACCAACGGGCACGCTGGCCTTTTCGCGCTCATGCAGGATCTGGCCCGACGTTCCGACGTGATCCCTGGCGGTAGGAACGGCATGGAACTCACTGTGGTCTCCCTGCGGCTCCTGCTTGATGCCCTTCTCCGCCTTGTCCTCCTTGTCGCCGCCACCCTTGTCGCCGCCGTCCTGCTTGGCCTTCCGCTGGATCTTCTTCATCTTGGCGCGCTGGTTCTGGAACCACACCTGCACCACCCGCACCGAGAGCCCCGTGTCCTTGGCCAGCGCCTCGCGGACCTGCGAGTAAGAGATCAAGAGTCAGGAAGAACAGTGGAGACGTCGCAAGGTTCTCCGGTACACTGCAACACGTCGGAGTGTCCGCCAACAGGGCGTGCCGCTTACCTTCCTGCAGGGCTTGGGGCTCACTTCGAACGAGGCCTTGAACTGGCGCCGCTGCGCCGACGTGAGGATGGTGCGGGGTCGCTTGGGGCCCCGCCGGCCGTCGCGTGGACGCGAGTTCTCGTCCAGCAGGTCCTCGTCTGGGCAGGGAGAGGCACACGTCAGTGTTTCCGGGACGGGGTGGAGTCCGCCGCCGACGGCGCCGCCGCGGTGCCGGCCGGGAGACTCACCGCTGGGGCTGGCCTGCTGCAGCAGGTACATCTCCTTCTCGAAGTCCGGCCGGCAGAACAGCTGGTTGGCGCGCAGTACGAACTGCTCGCCCTTCTGCAGGGGCTGCAGGCACGCCACGCACGAGAAGCAGTGCAGGTGGAACACGGCGTGCTGGGCGCGCATCACCAGCTCGTGCGGCAGCACCCGCTCCATGCAGCGCGCGCACTTGGCCGCGAACATCCTGCGGCAGGACGAGAACAAGGTCAGAACGAGTTTCAGACAAGCGGCCAATCGTCCAAGTCCCGGGCAAAACTATCGGGATGAACCTAATTTTGGTCGTTGAATGTGGCACTACTGCCCCGACATTAACGGTGTAGGCAACGCGGAATGCGGAATGCGCTGACCCTCATGTAAATATCGGGCCATCGTCGCCCTCTCCGTCTTATCATCAAGTCAGACGCCCCTCGCCCCTCTTTCCTCTTTTTCGCTTTAAATCATTTCTTTTTATTCCCTTTGGGCGCAGGCGGCGTCGCCGGCGGCCCGTTGCAGAGGAATTTGTCAAAGGGCGTCTGGGGGCGGGAGGAGGGGGGGGGGGGCGCTGGGGGCGGGCCCTGGCAGCTCCGCTGCCTTCGCATCGCGCGCTTGTGGGCCGACAGGGCCGACAGGGCCGACCCCAGGCCCCGGCCACGCCTGCACGATCTGGCCGACTTGCCGTTGCCGCGATGGCTGCGGACTCGCCGTTACGGCCAGCAGTCCAGCCACCCGAGCATCCGTTGTTCAGGAGTTAAAAGAAAAATCCCTTTCAAGTTAGAGGGAAAGGTTTTGGAAGACTGTTTGTTTTAAAAATGTGTATTGATTTACAACAGTATCACCGTAGAATGCTCGCCTGCCGCGCGGCCACAATGTTTGTCCGATTGATTGGGGTAGTACCTAACCTAACCTAACCTAACCTAACCTAACCTAACCTAATCTAACCTAAACCAATGCACGGCTCTGGGGTTGTTTCCTTACCGGTCGTAGTCCTGCTTGCAGTACAGCTTGCCGTCGCGGCAGTAGCACGAGTGGTGCAGCGTGGCGCCGCAGACGAGACAGGCCAGGCACGCCTCGTGCCAGGAGGACGCGCCGACGCGCATCAGGAAGCGGTCGTGGATGCGCCGGCCGCAGCCCTCGCACAGCGCGGGCTGGCCGTGCTGGCCCGTCTGGCCCAGCGGCAGCGCCGGCCCCAGCGACTGCGGCTGCCCCAGCGGCTGCCCCAGGGGCTGAGGCTGGCCCAGGCCGCGCGTCCCCGCCGTGCCGTTGTTCTCTGCGGGGGAAAGGAGAAAGAGAGAGAATTAGCGCGGGAAATGACCCATGCGCGTACACACTGGGCGCTCTATGGTAATGAAGAGCCCGTTAAAGAAAAAGGCTCTCCACCACCGTGACCTAACAGTAAACTCCACCCTGTAAAAAAAAGGAAAATTTAAAAATGTTCAGAATGTTACCCCCAGCGAAAAAGAAGAAAACAAGCAGTCAAATGCAGTCAAAACTGAAACAATTTGATTTATTTTGAAACAGCCTACGAGAGCAACAAAGAACCCCAATGAATTTCCGTTTCCCGCGCACGGCCGCACGGCCTCCGTGTCCGTTTCCGTTTTATTGCGCCTGTCGAGTGCCGAGTGGAGTGGCATTGTATTTCCGATGTGATTTTTATTGCGGGCCTACACGTGTGGCGTTGCGCGCCGCGGCCACGCGGACGCGCTTGCCGTGGGAGCAGCGGGGCGGCGGGTCGGCGCCCTATCGTATTATCTTATTTACCTTGTTGTAAGCGCGCGCATTATCGAAGTGATAACTTGTCGAAGCGCAAACATGGACCCCCGTGGCCTGGCGGGGCGGGGCGGGGCGGCGGGGCAGGGCGGCCAACTGCGGGGAAAGACGGGCCACGGCGTGTGGACCGTTCCGTCCTTCCAGGGTCTTCCAGGGAATCCGAACAGCGCTCTGTCTCTCTCGCACGCCGACGGGGCGCCGCACCGCGAGAGAGACAGAGCGACCCTGTTCGGAAACGGCTTTCCGGGGCCCCACGGCCTGCCCTCTTCATTATTTAGGCAACGGACGAATCCTGCCCCAGCGGCCCCAGCGCCCCACCCCTCCGCCATCTATTTACCGGGACCGGTCGGGACCGGCGTCCTCTTCCTTCTTTTCCTTTTCCGACAGACTGGAGACGCGCCGCCCGGATCAATAGGCAGGGCAGCCAGGGCAGCCAGCAGGGCAGCCGGGGGCGCGGCGACAGCGGGGCAAAATTTCGCCGCCAAGTTGGCAGCGGTTCGACGGGGGGGCTGTCCCGTCACTTTAAGAGGGTTCCCCGGGAAATATTTGGAAATTTTTCTTGAAACTCACAGCAAGCCTCAGTTCAAAAAAAAAAAAAAAAAAAAAAAAACACACACACACACAAAAACCCTAAAAATATTGAAAGGAAAATATGAATGAATGTGAAAGTTTGGTATTTCAGAATGCAAGTTTTCAACACTTGTTCATACGATTGGCGCCGGTGTCGCGGCCCCTCCCCCTTCTTCGGGGCCCCGCGGCGCCTTTGGGAGTCCCCACTGGCTCCCGCCGGTCCCCGCCACCTCTGCGCCCGCCGGGCCGCCGGGCCGCCTCTTGGCACCCGCGAGGAAACACTTGTCGCCCCCCATTCATTAGTCGGGGCGCTGAGATGCCGAGACGCCGCGACGCCGTGAGACGCCGCGAGACGCGGCCCCAGGGGCGTTCCACCGCCTCGCTGCCCCGCCACCATAAAGGCCGTAAAGCATTCAGCCCAATCGGTTTCTAACGAGGCGAGAGCAGCGAGAGCATAGCCCGGCGTAGCCGCATTCCCGAATGCGCAGGTCGAGCGCGAGGCAGGCGGAGGCACGAGGCGGTCCAGGGCGGCAGTGCGCCCGCGGAGCCAGGGATAGGCAACGCGCTGCACGGCGGAGCGCAGCGGCACGCCGCCTTGGCTACCCGGCAGGCGCTAGGCTCCAGCAGCTCCAGCAGCCGGCTCCAGCAGCGGCCGCCCTGTCTCTCTCGCACCCCTGCGGCACGCCTCGTGAGTGCGAGCGAGACCGACGGCACTTTCTTTCTTCTGTCCTGGTTGGTTGCCGCCAGACTATCGCATCGACCACAGCGGGCGCTGATTGGGCCGGCGTCGAACGCAGTGCACTGCAAGGCGGTGCAAGGCGGTGCCCTTGGCGCCGACTTGGCGCGCTCTTTCCCTGGGGATCGGAAAGCCGTTCCGACGGGCCGCCTCGCCTCGCCTCGCCGCCAGAGGGCGCACCTGGCGACGACGCGACGACCCGCCGATGAAATACACGGCGGCGGGGGCGGCGGCCGCGGGGAGAAAGAGAGAGAGAGAGAGAGAGAGAGAGACGGAGACGCCGAGAGCGAGAGAGAGAGAGGGAGAGAGGGGCGGACGCGGCGCTCCACCGCCTCGCAGTGCGTGCGTTCATATTTCACGCGAGACAGCGACGCAAAGGCGGGGCGGGGCGGGGCGGGGCGGGGCGTCTTGTACGCGCGCCGTTCCGTTCCACGCATTCCTCTTTTCCGCGAATCGATTCCCGCCGACAATTACTCCGCCGGAATGAATAACACGCCAGGCTGTCTCTCTCGGTGCGGCGCGGTGCGGGACAGACAGAGAGCGCTGTCGCCGAGCGCCCGCGGACGGCCGGGTAGGCAGCCCGGCGTGCGGCGGCGTCGACGGCTACCTGGCCTGTCTACCTGCCGGGCGCGCGGGACGATGGGCTGGGCGTACTACCCCCACCATGAATGCACCGGGGTACAGCCGGCGCGCGATGAACGCACCCCCGACGTGCGGCCCGCCGCGATGGCCGTACCCCTAGGTACACTTCGCCAAATGGTGCATTCAAGGCGAGACACCGGCACTGCCCGCGCCGCCCCGCGCTGCCCCGCGCCCTCTAGGAGGCAAGGCCAGGCAAGGCCAGGCAAGGCGTCGCCGACGAGCCGCCCCTCTAATCCACGACTGCGGCGGGAGGGGGAGGCTTTCCTCCGAGCGAACGGCGTTTCCTGCCAAGAGCTGTTCGCCGGGGGAGAAGGGGCGGGGGGCGGAGGGGGCAGTGGAACGTTTTCTGAATGCGGAGAGCGCAAAGGCTGCAGCGTTGGTGGATACCGCCCCGCCCCGCCCCGCCCCACCCCGCGAGCGGTTCTCGGAAAGGGGCGCCAAAAACCCTTCCCTTCCCCTTCCCCGGGCCGCCCCGCCCCCGCCGCCTCCCCGAGACCAAACGCACCACAACGTGCTGGGCAAGGCGATGAAGACAAGGCGGCGAAGAAGGAGGACAAGAAGACGGCGTTCGAGAGGGAGGCACACAGCGCGCACACAGCGCGCACACCGCCAGAAACCGAGGTGTTTCTTTTCGCATTCGACGGCGGGTGGTTGTGTGTGCGTGTGTGTTCGCGCCTCAAGTCACGCGTTATGCCCTTTGTTGGGAAACTCGCCCGATGATTTGGCGTGTGTGATGCATTGCTCGATAGGGAGGTGAAAGTAAACCACTTTCACGGAACGAAACACCAGCACCGCCAACATGGCACGCGCCAATCTTTGCCGCTGGTCTAGCAGTGCGGTTCGGAGTCCGTCGACTCATCCGCGTTTCTCACTTGACTCTCGTTTTGCTGTGCGTTGTTATTCGGGACGGGAGTCGGCGCTTCCAAGACACGTACCCTCCTTCCCTTTTTCTTTCGCTGTGTAGGGCGGACGCAGCCGGGCGGAGGCAGCAGGCGGGGCGGGGCGGGGCCCCGCTGAGACGTGACAAGGGCGAGGGAGGTGTTAGCACACAGAGGGGAGTGGCGTGGCGGTGGCGTAGCGTGGCGTAGCGCGGCGCCTGTGGCCTCCCCCCCCTCCCCCTCGCGGCTGGCGGCCCCGCGAGGCGAGGGCGAGACTCAGCATGGCGTCGGCGTCACGGCGCGGGCCCTATAGCGGTCCCCAAGGCGCGCGGTCCTACGCGGTCCCGCCCAGCCCACCGCCACCGCACCGCCACGGCCACCGCTTCGGTCGCTGCCATTCGGCTGCCCAGCGAAACGGACCCGGGTTCGACTGCCCGCCCCGGCCGCCGGAGTCGGGGTTTTCGCCGATCGTCGCGACGCATGCACGCCGAGGAGTGTCTTTGTCTTTTTAAGAAATTCAAAGTTTCAAGTTTGGCGCGGGAACGTCCCCGAAAGTCACTTTGCTGTCGCTCCTAGTGACGCGCATTTTCTTTTTCCTCCTTTCTTTCCGTATTTACGTGGAAATCCAATTTAACCATTTCCACGAGGGGCCTTGCGTCCGCTTGCGTCAACAGAGCCCTCGGCGCGGTGGAGTGGCGACTAGACACGCGCACACAGAAGTGGCCGATCACTTGTTGGGCACACAGCGATTGCGCTATCACGCACTCGTCGTCATTCCCTTTTCGTCCGTCTCTCTCGCACTCGCGGGGCGTCCGCTTGCGTCCGCTGCGGGGTGCGAGAGGGACGGAGCGATGGAAGCACACTGTTCGGAATGAGGCTGCAAATCGTGAGGCCGCGAGGCGTCACTTCCCTGCTCAAGGTGAGGAGCCGCTAAGTGAATGCCCCTTCGCTCCCTGGAGGGCTGTTTGCACCCTTCGGGCACGCTTCGGGCACGCTTCGGGCACGCTTCGGGCCCGCTTCGGGAGCGCGACACCTCGGCAGGAAAGGCCCCAGCTATTCTCGGCGGCCCCCCAGAAGGGCCGGATGTTGTTGCAGCTAAGGCCTGTCATAACGGTGGCACCCGCGCTGGAGAACGAAATGAGCGGAGGACAACAACAACAACAACACAACAACAACAACAACAACAACAACAACAAAGAGACTGGCGGCAGCGAGGCGGCGACACCTGACTCGGAGCCAAACGGCCAAACGGGCGTGGAAGTGTCCCATCGCCGCTGCAGCTCGCGCCGCCGCACCGCCGTGCCGCCGTTCTGTTGTTGCCGGCTACACTGCCACGCCACTTGCAAAGTGCAAAGCAGTGCAAAGCCCCCCTCGGTTCGGCCGCCACCCCGCCCCACCCCGCGCCTCCTCCAAAGCCGCCGCGATGCAGACGCCAAAGCCCAAAGCTTGGCGAGACCCGGCGAAGCCCGACGAAGCCCGGCGAAGCCTACTACAACTTTCATAATAGGAAAAGTTAGGATCAGTATGCAGTGCGTATATGCTGGCCGGCCAAGTCGAGGGATGCGGCCGTGCGGCCATGGTGCCCGCAGTGTAAACTTGTGCCGACCCTTTTTACGCGCGGCCCCCGCCCCTCCCCCCTCCCCCACTCCCGGCGAAAGGGCGGCCCTGGAATTTCCACGGCAGGAACAGTGCTTGTCTGCCGTTATTGCAGCAGCTTTTCGCGAGCAAGCAAGAAAAAGAGTCAAAAATATCAAACTGACAAAAATTGTGCTTTCTTTTGAAAAAACCAATGTAGGTGTTTTGCCCACATTTTTTTTTTTGGGGGGGGGGTCTGAGGGAGTCGAAAGTTGAGCGCCTGGCAGGTTTTGGTGTCGCCGGCCGGCACTGTGAGCGGCACGAGCTACTCCCTATTGAATCACGCCCCCCGGCCCGTAGGCCATGCCCGCCCTGGCCCGCCCCGGCCGGAAGTTTGAATCTTGGCGCGAGGCGCCGTGGCGCGCGGAAGCGGAAACAGCGACTCCTGTTTGCTTGTTTTGCAAAACTTTGCCTATGAATAAGACATGCCCATGCATTCAGGGCCTTTCTGGCTGCGCCTTGCTGCGGCCCGGCAGTTTGTTGTTTGACAGTGTGACGACGACAGGTGGAGGAGCAGGGGCTCTCCACTGGGTGCTTTGTTCAGGCTGCTTTCAATTTATTTCAAGGTGTTTTCATTTAAATTTTGGGTTTTTATAGAAACGGTGCCATGGCAAACTAACATTGATTGGTTATTTCGTTCTCTTAATCGAGTGCTTTAGTGCTGATTTTGAAACCACAAGGTCTCGTGTTCAGTAACGCCACCGGCATTTGCACTTGGTTTTCATATCGGTTCGAACAACATGCACCTTTCGGCCCTCAACCAGTTCCCACATGACATGACATGAAGAGGCCTCTTGGTCAGAAAAATCGCGGAATCTGTCTGAACTAAAAGAACGCATGCAAACTAGGAGGTACGCGGAAAAAAATTGGAATAAACTTATCAAACTAATACTGAATTTACTGAGGATGGCGAGACGAGGCTCATGTCTCCGACACTCTCTTCTTGTCAATTCAAAAGTAAGTGGGACCAAGGGATGACAAGAGAGCGCGCGCCGGCCGGCGCGGCGGAGCGCGGCGGAGTGGCGCGAGATTTGAACGCACGAGTCGGGCGACGGGGCGAGCGGCGAGGCCGGCGTCGCAAGCACACGAAGGAGAGCCTTCGTAAGGCAAGCCTTACCCGTCCGGCTGAGCGGGTGCGAGTCCGCGCCCATGGTGGTGTAGGTGACGCCGTTGTTGTTGGCGTTGTTGTTATTGTTGTTGGAGTCGTTGGCGGCGCAGGACGACGAGAAGTCCAGCAGCTTGCGGTCCACGGGCGAGCCGCACTCCTCCACCACCTCCTTCTTCATGTACATGATGGTGGCGCCGTCCACGTGCTGCGCGTGCTGCGCGTGCTGCTCCAGCACGTCGGCGTCGCGACCGTCGCGACGCTTGCGGCCGCGGCCCGGCGTCGTGGTCGTCGGCAGCCCCAGGGCTGACGGCGGGGGGACGTCCGTAGTGTGACGCGGTGACCGGCTGGTCACAGACGGAGTCACGGGCCGTGTCACATGCCAGTCAGGCTGACACGTCACGGGCCGGCTCGGCCATGCTCACTCACAACACTCGTTCACTTTGCCGACACTGTGCTGCCAGACGGCGCTGGCCTCGCCATCCCTGACAGGCCATCCCTCGCGAGCCTCTTCTCGGCACACTGTTGTCGGCACACTGTTCTCGGCACACTGTCGTCGACCACACTGTTGTCGGCCTCGGCGCCGTCACGGCCTCGCGTCGCGCGCGCCCCGCCGCGGCATGTTGACGCCCGAGGTGGCCGTCGTGGAGGTGGCCGTCGTGGCGCTGCACGTGGTCGCGGTGCTGGCTCACGACGCGTCACGGCAGGCGGTCGGCGGCGCGGTGCGGCACGGTGCGGCACGACCCGGGCCGGCTGCTTGCTCCCGTCCAACTGGCTGCCGTCGGCCTCGGCCTGCCGGGCCTGCCGTCGCCGAGGCGAAGCGGTGCCAACCCCCAACCCCCTGGATCGCGCCGCGCGGCCCGCGGAGGGTGGGGGAGCGGCTGGGGAGGGTCCTGGGGGAGGAGCGAGCGACAAAAACGCCGCGCGTGCGTGTGTGTGTGTGTCTGTGTGTGTGCCGCCACACCGCACCACGCCAGTGCACGGTGGGCCACAAGAAAGAGGGGAGGAACAAGTTCGGTATTGTGGTGGAGGGCGGCCAGGGCGGCCAGGGCGCCCGGCGCGCGGGGCAGATGGGGATGACCCTGGGGCGGTCCGAACAAAATGAATTTTTTGGCGGGAAGGACGGCGGACGTGCTTACGGAAGGCGGTCAACCGGCAGGCCAGCTAGGGAGGCGGGATGCATGCCCGTCGAGAAGAGGGCTGGGCCGCCGAACCCCGAAAGCCCCGAGCCGAGGCCGCGGGGAGAGAGCATCCAAAGAGAGCGCACCTTGACCTTTGCGTCCATGCCGTCCTCGCCCTCCACGCCCTCCACGCCGCGTCCCTGCCGAGGCCGAGGCCCCGGCAACCCCTCTGGAATGGCCGTGGCGATGCGCCCTTTGTCGCGCGCGAGAGTGTGTGAGTGTGTGAGTGCGTGTGTGAAAGAGAGGTCTTTGCCCCTCAATGAATCCAGTGGTGGCCCGACGGAGTCATTAACAGTTACGCACTCACTCTTCTATTTTTTCCCCAATGAAAAAGGCAACAAAAAAACTACGTCAGAATGAAACGTGAAAACTGCGAATGTCTTTTTTATTTTCTTAAAGGGCATCCCGACACAATATCACCGTATCATTTGTAAACAATTCATTTCAAAAAGAGAGCATGATGTAAACAAGTTTTACGTTTTTTTTCTTCTTTCAAGCATGTGTCTTGGAAATGTCCACAGGTTTGTGATTGGAGAATCCCTCGGCAGTGGCGTCTCCAACTCACGGACGGCGTTGGAGTCTCGGTCGCGGCACGGCGATCCCGTCGCGCGGCCCACTCGCGCCTCCGGCCTCAGCGCGCACCGCCTCAGCGCGCCTCAGCCTCAGTCCGACGGCCGCACCGGCCGCGCCGGCGCCACGCCACGGGCGCCGCCGTGGAGGCCCCCGGCGCCCCCGGCGAGCCGACCATCCCGCGACCCGCGGCCGGCGGGGGCACCGGGGGCACACAGTGGCCGGCGTGAGCCCCGTGGACCCCCGTAGGGACCCAGCGTGCACGCCAGCCCGGTTAGGTCCATGCCCCCGCCGCGGCCCAACCCCCGCCCCCACCCGGCGCCCTCCCCCACCCCGCGGCCCGCGAGGCGCCAGGCGAGGTGGTGGGTCTGGTGGGCGTGGCGCCACACTGCCACCGCCCCGCGCGCCCATTGGTGGGCCCGGCGGGCCCGGCCGAGGGTGGGGGAGCGCGCCCCAGCGTCGCGGCGGCGTGGCGACGCCGTCGTCGGCTTGCCGTCGGCCCCAGCGAAGGCCGATCTTGCACGGCGACGTGAGCAACTGGTAGCACTGCCTGCCCTGCCTGGCACTGCCTGCGAGTGTCCTCCCGCACCGGCTCGGACCGGCACGCCGTGCACGGACCGGCAGCCACGGCAAAGGTGCAACCTTAACGACGACGTGAGCAACTAGTAGCACTTTGGGCATTTAAAAGCAAAAACCCAAAAGAAACCCACAAAAAACGCGTTGCTAGCACTGCTAATTCCCGGAGGCGACGCGGCGCTCTCGAGATTCCAATCAAAACGGGAAGAGGATTGGAAAAAAGGGGAGGGGACCGTCGCGTCTCGCGGTCTTCGACTTCTGCGCGCAGAGACGGACAAAGTTGTAATTAGCCGATCCGGAGCTCATTTTTAATTATTCCATTCCAATCAAATTCCTCTGATTGAAAGTCGCCATGCAAATGGCCGCGGCCGCGCGGTTTTCTGGGCAAATTAAAACGTTAATGCGCCGCGGAATATTAAACAGCGAGATGGCAATTCTTTTCCCGCCGCCACTGTTTGGCGCCTTTTCCTTTTCGGCAGTGTCCTCTAATTCCATTGGGCCGGGGAGTTAATCCGCGAGCTGCGGATCGGTGTGCCCGGCGTGCCCGGCGTGCCCGGAGTCGCGGCTAAGTCTGGCTTTGCCGAGACCACTAGTTCGGCTTAGGCGCGTCTTCGCCGCGTCTTAGCCAGCAGGCCACCGACAGCCACGCCCGGTCGCCGCTGTGCCGCGGGGTGGGCCTCGGAGGGGGGAGGGGGGGGAGAGAAGAAGAAGAAGAAGAAGACTCAGAGGGCGGACGCGTTTCATGGCACGCTGAACCTGGCTCGCCTGTGTGGATTGTGACATAGCAAACGTGCTTCAAAAAATGTTTTTTTTTGCGCGCGCGTTTTTTTTACAGTGTATTCGTCACGTGTCCTCGACAAGCGTCCTAATCGGGCAGCAAAAGGGTGCAAGAGATTCGTCACCCCGAGACGCGTCCCGAGGGCCCGACGTGTCAAAACGCGCTGCGATTGGTCGCGCCAACCCGACGCGTCACTTGTCCCTGCCTTACCTGTTATTTTGACAACCCCCAGGAGGAGTTCGCTCGCATCCACGCGCAGATTCCAACATTCTCTTTTGTTTTGCAGTGAATTTAGTCAAACTAGCAAATCAAGTTCAGGCGACACGAAACCCGCAGTAAATTTATCAAAATTTTGTACTGTACGTGACAGGGTAGCAACTGTTTATTGGTCGTAGCCTGTTCTTTCCCCCTTTTTGAACCATTTTTTCCCATGCCTTTGCGAGGGCCCAGCGACAAACACACTGCCTTTTTGACTGATGGGGCTCGCCCGGCTCGCCTCACGTGTACTCCTTGTTAGGGAGAGAGACAGACAGAGAGAGGGCAGCGGCGAAAAGCGTTTGTGACGTGTGACGTACTTGACGGGCCGGGCCGGGCGGGCCGGGCAGGGACAGGCGTGACTGCGAAGAGGGAGCGAGAGAGCGAGAGGGTTGGCCCGCTGGCTGGCTGCCTGGCTGGCTGCCTGGCTGTCTGCACGGTCATTTCACGGTGCTCACAAGAACAGGCAAGGGCTTGAAGGGCGGCTGGCTGGTGCGGCATCCCTCCACTGGGAAGGGAGAGAGGGAGAAAGACAGAGGGAAGGCCGTTTGGGTTGTTGTTGTCCTGCCTCCATTCAGACGTAAGCAAGCGCACCGGACTGCAGGGAGATGAGTGGAATAATGAAAATGAAGGAGACGTCGACTCTTCTTTCTTTTCCTTTCCTTCTTTCCTCTTCCCCGCCTTTTTTTTGCTGCAAAGTTTCATTTCCCCTTTTCGCCGGCGCAAAACTTTCCCGTGGATTGATTCCGGCACAAATGAGCTTATCCCGAAACCGAAGGTCCTTTCCCTACTGACTGACGCCGCTGCGGTAGTCCACATATTTATTTCTTCTTCTCCCTTCTCTCTTTTATTTTTTCATACCACTTTTTTTTATGGCAGGTGCGATTAAACTTGGTTTGGGATTTCCCTCTGGTCGTCGGCGGGGCGGGAAGATTTGAATAATATACGTCCTGTCGACGTTCCGCGGCCGCGAACGTCGCACACCCCGTGGCACACCGCCCCCGCGTCGCCGGCGGCCGTCCGGGCCGTCAGGCGCGAGCGTGCTCCGCGCGTGCCGCGTGCGTGGCGCGTGCCCAGACGCGTGCCGGCGGGAAATTCTGCCCCCTTTCGCTCAACTCGGTCCGCATTCTATTCACTCACTCTGCCGGATGATATTGTCTGCTTTCCCTCCTCTTCCTTGCGGTCGCACCGACGACCTGCAGATCGCGACCTCATCAGCCGTAGCCGCTCGTTCCGGCAATTTGCAGCTCGCAGGCCTTTGCAGGCCGAGGGGCATTGTGGCCATTGTGGGGCTGGAAGCGGCTGGAAGAATGGAAAGACGGAGCGTGCGTGCGTGTGCGTGTGTGTGTGTGTGTGCGTGTGTGTGTGTGTGCGTGTGTGTGCATTTGTTTTGGGTGAACGTTTTCCCCCGTCCTGGGCTCGGACTTCCTTCCGGAGCTCAGCGCGGGATCATGGAGAGGATCACACACACACACACACACGCGCTTTCACACACACTTACTCTCTCACTCACACGCACGCATAACGCCCTTCTCCCTCACGCACACACACTAGCGCCCCTCCGAAGCACGCTAAACTCTTGACGCTCCATCTTTTCCGGTACCAAATGTCTCTCTCAAAGTTGACTTCATGCGTGCGTGTGTGCGTGCGTGTGTTTGTGCATGTGTGTGCGTGCATGCGTGCGTGTGTGTGCGTGTGTGCGTATGTGTGTGTGTGCCAGGGCGGCGGATTGCGTCTGTTTGCTAGGCAGGGCGAGCGCGTCTCTCTGCGTCCTCCGTGTTTGCCAGGGGGTACTCCCCGCCCCGCTGCCCGCCCCGCTCCCCCCTAGAGTCTAGAGAGAGCAGCCTAGAGCGGTCTAAAGGGAGCGAAAAGAGGAGAGCAGACTCGGGCACGCCTACAGTGTACAGACGGTGCGCGGTGCGGCCAAGGGTGCGACCCCCTGCCGGCTGGGCGCGGCAAGGCGCGGCAAGGCTTCTGGAGTCGCGGACTCCACGCCTCCGCGCCCACGGCCCCCGGCCCGCCAGACTTTTCAATATTGACTCGCTTGCAGGCAGAGCAGAGCAGGCAGCGCAGGCAGCGCAGGCAGCGGGGCAGGATTGCGCGACGAGGCCGACTGCCAGCCGACTCGTCGCTCTGTCTCTCTCGCACTCGTGGGGCGTCCCGCACGGGTGCGAGAGAGACCAGGCTCGGACTGGGCCCCAAAAGGCCCCAGCGGATAAGACCGCAAAAGGCCCCCAATCATCATTGTTTTGCCCTCCATGCACCAACGGGGCTACCGCTCCCAACTATTGCGTCAATTGCGCTTCGCCGAGCAGGCAGAGCAGAGAGGGCTAAGCACAGGCGTCGAGGGCAGGCTTTGCGGCACAGATGGCCGACTGGCCCCAAAGCCCAGCAAATTCCGAATTCGACTCATGTTTTGCCCTTCGACAACTCGTTGGGCGGTCCCAAAACGTTGGGTCAGCTTCCGATGCAGGATGACAGGGTCTTAAGAATACTAGGGCGTCGAGGGAGGCCTTTTCAGCGGAACTAGATTGAACAGTGGCCCCCAAAGTCAGCATAATCAGCAAATTTCCGAGATTCGACCATTTTTGACCAACTTGGTCGAAAATCGTTGCGGTCAAAGCCAAAACTCGTTGTGGTCAACGTCTTCCCGATACAGGGCATGAAAGAGTAGGGTCTTAAGAATACTAGGACGTTGAGGGAGGCCTTTTACAGCGACTAGATTGGACACAGTGGCCGCCCAAAGTCAGCAAAATCAGCAAATTTCCGAGATTCGACCAGTTTTTGACCAACTTGGTCGGAAAATCGTTGCGGTCAAAGCCAAAATCGTTGTGGTCAACGTCTTCCCGATACAGGGCATGAAAGAGTAGGGTCTTAAGAATACTAGGACGTTGAGGGAGGCCTTTTACAGCGACTAGATTAGACACAGTGGCCACCCAAAGTCAGCAAAATCAGCAAATTTCCGAGATTCGACCACTTTTTGACCAACTTGGTTGGAAAATCGTTGCGGTCAAAGCCAAAATCGTTGTGGTCAACGTCTTCCCAATACAGGGCATGAAAGAGTAGGGTCTTAAGAATACTAGGGCGTCGAGGAAGCCCGTTGACCGCAATTAGATCGGACGCTGTGGCCGCCCAAAATCAGCGAAAACGGCTACTTTCGTCCTATATATACTAGGACTCTTTGACCAACTTTTGGCAAAGCAGCGATGTCGCCCGGTTCAGAACCTTTCTTTCGCCATTCTCTCACTCGCACCGCTGCGCGACGCCGGCGACTCCACACGAGTGCGAGAGAGACAGAGCACCGTTCGGCATTCAACCGGCTGCTCTTCTCCGCTGGAAATAACGTTTAATAAAATATGGTGTAGTATCGCGCGCGCTCGGCGAGCGAGACGGAGACGAAACGCGCTGCCGCCGCGTCTTTCTTATTTTTTTTTTTTACTTTTTTATTTTTGATATTTTTTATTTTCTTTCCGCTGCGCGCTGCGCGAAGTATATTGAAGTCCCTGCCGTGCGCCGTGCCGTGCCGTGCCGTGCCGTGCCGCAGAGAGCCGAGACGCCGAGACGCCAAGAGCAGTGGCGCTGCCGCTCTCAAAGGAAACTTCCACGGCATCTCTGACAGATTCGTCTTATTTGCAGCACGGCCCGGCACGGCCCGGCGGCTGTGTCTCCCTCGCGCCCCTCCGGCACGCCCGGCGAGGCCGCGAGTGCGAGAGAGGCAGAGCGACGCCCTGCCGGTCCCCGCCGGTCCCTGATTGGTCGAGGCGCCGCTGATAACGCCGTGGCCCTGCAGGGGGTTGGCTGGCCGCCTCGCTGGCAGTGCAGTGGCGCGAACTTCAAAGGCGCGACTGCACCTTGGGCCGTGCCACAGTGGGCCAGAAGACCGGTGGAGGCGGCCAAAATCCTGGACGCGTTTTGAGCTCCAGAGTCGCTAAACGGGACTCGAACCGAACGTGTGACCCCACCAATGGATTGCTCTCCGAACGAGGAATCCATTGGTGGGGTCACACCTTCGGTTCGAGTCCTGTTTAGCGACTCAACGGAGCTCAAAACGCGTCTTTGGCCGCCTCCACCGGTCTTCTGGCAAATCCACTGCGGAGGCCACCCTCGGCAATTACCCCGCTCGGTTAACTCGACGGTCGGAATCACTCTGGCAATGACACGGCCGGTGGTCCGGGTTCTCACGGCCCGCCCCCGCCAACCCCCGGCTCAGCCCCGCTCAGTCCCGCTCACGGCCAAAGTTACACGCGGCCGTTTAAACGCAGTCGGCTGGTGGCGCACGCGCCACAATGGGATAACAATATAGTGGCAGTCGGACCTGATGCTGGGGATTAGCGAGGTGAGCCGGGGGAGGGGGAGGGGAGGGGAAAAAGGGGAGGGGGGAGTCGCGTGCGAATACGGGCACGCCGGCATCGACCAGCCCATTTAGAGGCTATTATGATGACAATTTCCGCGGCCAACATCTTGGCGGTTCTAAACCACCGCGCTCCCCGCCTCCCCCTCCCGCCCGACACAGTGTAGGTCCGTCGGCCCGTCCGCCAGCGCACAGCACAGGCCTCGCAGGGCCACCAGAACACCAATTCGGCGGCCTGTGTTGTTTTTACGTGTTGTGGCGTCTGCATGAGCAGGGCGAAAGGTTAGTTAGGGAGGTGTGCCCACAAAATTAGACAAGTTTATTATTTTTTTAGTACCTTTTTTTTCGCCGTTCCTCTTTCTCTTTCCTTCTTGGTGGAAAGATTGCATCCCTGGGTGTTGCGCAAAGTGTACACCGCGAAGATCCCACGGACTGTGTGGGCGGGCGGGGCGGGGCGCTAAATGGCCGGGGACGCACCCCGCCACGCCCCGCCACGCCCTGCCGCCACGTTACGACTTATGCAGCTTACCGCCAGAGGGAATATCGGCAACCTTACGCTGTCGAAGCATCCCCCTCGCCGAGCCCACCCGCCCCGCCCCCCCCCGCCCCCCGGGCCAGGATTACTACCGATCCTCGGAGCCACCTCCCCCTCATTCAACCCTCCAGGCCTCCAGGCTTAACGCTCGTCGCCTTGTCGTCATTCAGACATTTCAACCCCCCCCTCCCCTCCCCTCCCCATCCCTCCCTCACTCACACACTGTCGTGTTGACGCTGTGCCGTGCGTTCCGTGTTTGTTGACTCACGGGTCTCTGAAATGTAGAGCCTTGTTTCTTGCTTCTCGCGGACCGATGGAAACAACAGCAAACTTTCCCTTCGGCCTTTGGGCGCCCTTCGGCTCTCGGCCTTCGGCTCGCGTAATCTCCCTCCGGCCGCTCCTCGCGTTCAGGTTTCCCGCGCTCCTCCCCCCTCCCCCTCCCTCGGGCGATACATAAACACGCGATTTATCAAAGCCACCGGGCTCATGAAATCGGTCTTGTTTACGTTTCCGCGCGGGTGGCCGTGCGGGTGGCCGCGCCGGCCTCTCCAAGTGGCCATCGTTTAGCGACCGCCTTTTCTCTTTTTTTATTTTTTTGTCTCGTCCTGTCCTTCCTGGCGGGAGGTCGCGGCCGTCGCGGCGCGTCCTGCCCGTTTTCCGAATTTGTCCTCGTTCCTCGCGGTGACCGCCAGCGCCGCCAGCGCGCGCCGGGGATTGTCTTTACTGCGCCGAGGAACGGTCAATGAATAAAAAGGAGCGTTCTGGCGGACGGACGCGACAAATACTTTATTCGACTTGATATCCAGCTGGCCCGGCTGGCCCGGCTAGCCCCATGGCCGGCACAGGGTGGACGCGGGCAGGTACCCGGCCCGGGGCTTCGGGGTCAGGTCGTCCGGGGCGTAGATGCAGGTGCCGTTGCAGACGAACTCGAAAGCTGCAATAAAAGAGCAGCCACATTCAAATATTTTTTCAAAACGGACCTTGGAAAAAAAAATTAAAAAAATTACAAGGCTGCACTTTTTGTCAACATTTATTCGCACACAAGTCTACAGAATTTTAACGAGACAAGGTCTTCCAAACTGCCGTGAGAAGACGACGAAATTTTCAATTTGAAAACGTAAACACGCATAAATACGCGAAGAAAAAACACTTACTCTCCTTGGTTTGGCAGTTGTGGGAGCGGCGCACGCAGTCGTTGGAGAAGGTCTGGAAGCGGTCGCCCCACTGCACGCCGCACACGGGGGCGAGGTTCAACGGACACACGCGGGGGCACTTTTCGCCCTTCACGGGGTCCGCGCGCACGCACGCCGCAACACCTGGCACACAAGCACTCGAATTTAAAAATTTGAATCACAAAGACTTTTCTATGAGAACTACTTTTCTTTCATGTTGGTCTCTTTGAAGAGTACCGAAACGCACCAATCAGCACGAGGACGGCGACGAGACCCTTCATGGCGGCGTTCCTGGACTCGACTGACGGTCGGCGAGGCCGGGTCCGCTTATTTATACTGTAGGAGCGACTCGTCGGCCGGAGGCAGCCAGAGGCAGGCAGAGGGCGCTGGGACAGATACGACTTCCGGGCATCGCACGGCGGGACGCAAAAATCGGTTTAGAACAATATGGAGCCGGGGACAGGCCTCGCCAGCCCGCCAGAAACATTAAATTTGGCAGAGAACCTTATGGGAAACTGTTGAGAAGTGCTGGGAATCGAACCCGAGTCCTCGAAGTCGGAAAGTGACGTGTGAACTATCCCGGCCAAAGTGGCGTCTCCATGAGAAGAGTATCAGTGGAGTGACTGACGGCGGGTTCAAATAACGCGTGAGTGTTAGAAAATGATTTTTATTCTGCCAGTTTCTCGTCGTTTAAAACTGTCTTGGTGGCGCATCACCCCTTGAACGGCACGCAGAGGTCGCCGGGCCGGAGTGGGGCGCACTGCTTCTGCTCGGCCTTGCCGTGCTCGAACAGGCACGTCCCGTTGCAGACGAACTCGAAAGCTGGCGAAACAGAAACAAAAACCCCGCAATGAAGGCGGCGGTGCCTTTGTTGGTCCACAAGTGTCCACGTTACGCACTCTCGCGGGTGCGGCAGTTGCGGGAGCGCCGGACGCAGTCGTTGGGGAAGGTCTGGAATCGGTCGAACCACTTGGCGCCGCACACGGGCGCGAAGATGAAGGGGCACACGCCGGGGCAGGGCTCTCCCTCCACGGGGTCCGCGGCCGCGCCGGCCACTGGAAGCAGGCAAGCAAACCCACAGTCCCCTTCCCCGCCTCAACTTCCAAGTCCCCTTTCCGAAATCGTACCTAGCAGGAGCGCCACGAGAGCAGACAAAGAGGCGTTCATGTTTACGGCGTTCCTCTCACTGGCTTGGGCCGGGCGCCGTGACGTATTTAAGTCGGAAAAACCTGAACGGACGCACTTTTTTCGGGGGCCAGGCCCACGATATCGGCAGCCAACCGACAAAATATATTTTATTTTTAAAAGCAGGTAAACAAGGAGCTTCCGGCGATGGAACGGCGATGTTGTATGCTAACAACAACAGCAACATAAACAATTTGTGAAAGAAAAAAAAACTTGGTGGTCGGACTAATTAGTCACCGCGACCTGCCTCAAGTGAGGTGCTATCGTCTCGGACCGCCTGTGTGTGTGCGTGTGTGTGTGTGTGTGTCCCCGTGTCCGACGCAATCGCCCAGAGGGAATGTCCTGAAGCAAGGTGAGTATGCGTGGGGCTTTCCCGTATACAATAACAAAACACATTCTTGTAGTAAAACAAACTCGTTGGCGTTTATTTCAATTTTACATCAATGAGAAATCAAGGCGGCCATCTCGATGTCGTCCTCCTAAGTATTGACGTTCGGACCCTCGCAGGCGCCGGCGAAAAGCTCGATGAAGTCTTAAAGAACAAAACAATAAATTCTTTTAAGAAGCCAGCAAGAAAAAAAAAGATTTTGCCGTTGCACTGATACTGACGGGTGTTGTGCTCGCAGTTGTACTGGTCCATTGCGCAGGGCGTGGCAAAAGTTTTGACGCTGATGCGTTTGATTCGGAACTCGATGCCGCAGATCGGCCACGGGCCCGCCTCGTCGCACTGAAGGCAGCTTTTGCGGGGCTCCAGTGACGCACCGTACGCCGCTCCTGAGTCAGCCAATTCCCGAAATATTTTTGTAACATTTGTCACGTTTTGAAAAATTTACAACCATTTTAATTTTCTTTTTAGTTTTGAGTCAAAATTTGGAAAAACCAAAATTGCGCAGTTACCCAAAAACGCAGACACAGCTAAGAAGATGATGCAGGCCTTCATGGTGAAGCACGGGGAGTACTGTACTCCAGCACCGCCGCGCACCGGGCTTTATAGCCAGCCGACGTGGTTTGAATGAGTGTCCGTTTCCGGCAGAGATAGCCCAAAGCTCTTGAAAATATAAGGCGGCAATTAAAGCCGGCGGAATGGGGTTGGAAAGACAGGGACACAACACTCAGGTTTATGCTGACATTTTTATTTCGGTTTCAGTCTGTCGCGATTCAAGAAGTTAGCCCTCGCGCGGGCAGCCGCCATTGAACAGGAAGACGTAGCCTGTGGAAAGGAAAGAGGAATGAGAAACAGCGTTCACCTGCGGTGCCGCAAACTTGTGGATGGTGCTCACGTGTTCCGTTGGCGCAGTTGTACTTGCGGATCTCGCAAGAGGTGGCGAAGGTCTTGAGGCGCGCGTAGTACTTGGAGACGAACTCGGCCGCGCACACGGGCTGGATGTTGTTGATGTGGCACTCCTTGGGGCAGTCGTCGGGCAGGTAGGGCCGCCTGGCCTCGGCGGGAAGGCCCTTGGCCAGGCCGTCGGGCAGGCCGGCCGCTGCAACAGCAAGAGTCGTGACGGTTGGCGCCAAATTTTGGCGCCAAAGTTTTGGCCCTTGCCCGGGTGGCCCGTACCGCAGAGCGCCAGCATCGCGACGAGGAGCAGCACGGCCTTCATGGTGTGGAGGAGGAGGGAGAGCGCCGAATGCACGTCGGAGGCCTCGGCCGGTGTCTTATAGAGGGCGGTGCGCTGCGCCGCGAGGCCGGCCGCCGATAGCGCTGCAGTTAGGCCTTCCCTGACGCTCAAAAAAATGTTCCTTTCGGAAGATTAACGGGTCGGCCGGCCCGAAGGCCGAAACCAGTTTCCCCCTCGGCGTGCGCATCACACGGCGGCGCCGTTGTGGAGATCCAAGTCGCCTAGCTGTACACTGCCACTTCAGCAGGGAAAAGAAAATGGGGTCAAATGTGGACACTTTTTGCGGACGTTCCCCGCGGCCTTCGGCGAGCCGCGCTATATAGCTCGGCCTGCGCCCGGACGCACCCAGTTGCACCCAGCGCGTCGCGCCGCCAGGACAGCAAAAATGAAGTTCGTCGCCGCCGCTCTGGTCGCCAGCGCCGCCGTCGCAGGTGAAGCAAAGACAAAGAATCATTGTCGCTCCCCGTCTTTTTTTGAGCGTGTAGCACTTGCGACAATTTTCCAGTGATTCTGGCGCTGGAGGACCCCGTGCCGAGCTACTACGGGCAGTACCCCAAGGAGTGCACCCAGGTCTGCCACAAGAACCTGGAGCCCGTGTGCGCAAAGAACGGGGAGGGCAGGAACAGGACCTACCCCAACAAGTGCTTCATCGACTACCTCAACTGCAGGGAGAACACCGGTAAGGCGGACTGCGTGACTTAACTTTCTGGAATCAAAATTAATGTGTGCTGTGTTGCGGGTCTGCCTGTCAACGCCCGTGAGGCGCACACGTAGGCAAGCCCGCAGCGCTGCGACGTGCTCGTCGTGCCTACCCGGCCTTGGCCCCAAGGGGCAATGCTCCTGGCACCGCCGATTTAACTAACTGTTTTTGTTACGTTTTTTCAAAATGTTTGTCTTTTGTTTCTCGCAGACTTTGAGTTCGTGTCCGACGGCGAGTGCCCCGACGCCCCCCTGGAGTGGCAGAACGACGAGGACGCTTTCGCGAGGTTCGACGTCTAGCCGCCAGTCGCCTAGTTCAAACTGTTGTCCTCTACCGCCCCCTTCATCACGCCTTGACATGAACGCTTCCACAATAAATGAGACGATTCCATGAGATCGGTGTCTTTCTTCATTGGCCATGTCCCCACTCTCTCTGATGTGCGAAACACTCGTAAAGTCCGTTGAGTGGCGACGATTGTGACGACGTCAGCGCAGTTCCGGTGCACAACGACAAGGGTACAAAACCCAGGGACGCCCCAACGACCGCCAGTCCCACTCTGCAAGTCAGCCACACCATGAAGGCCTTCAGCGTTCTCCTGGTGGCCGTCCTCGCCGCCGGCCTGCTCGCCAGCGGTGGGTCAACGGATGATACACCTCGAAGATGAAATTACTCTTACACTCAAATGGAATGATTTCGCTGTCCAGCGTTCGCGGGCGACGAGCCGGGCGAGCGGTGCCCCTTCGGGTGCCTGGCGGTCGAGGACCCCGTGTGCGGCTTCTACCGCGGCGTGCACCGCACCTTCAGCAACTCGTGCATCATGGACCTCGAGAACTGCGTCAAGAGGCAGTGTGAGTGCGCGCCGCGCGAAACCAATTTTCGACAGTGCTATTGCAGTAAAGTGTTTCGTTTTGTCGGTTCCAGACTGGAGGAAGGTGGCGGACTGCGCCTGCGTTCCGCCGGCCCTGGCCCCTGGAAAATGAGGGGGGCAATCAAGACACCGCGCTCAAATGTTCCAACGTATGCGTCAATAAAAATGATGAGAGGAAATACAGTTTCATGCATTCACATCCCGCCTTCCCAATAAAAGAAGCATTAAAGAAAACGGCCCAGTCAAATTAGTACGAAACTTGGTCCAGATTGGAGGCGGTGGACACCTACGCATTTGACACCGTTTCGACAAACTTTGCTGCAATACCGCTCCCAAACTAAGGCGGCCAATCGCACTCCGTAACAAAGGTGTTCTAAAGGAAGGTCCAAATACCAGCCACCCGTTGAGGGAGAGCGATTATCCGCCTTAGATCAGACGCAGTGGCTGCCCAAAGTCAGCCCAAACGACGATTTCCACACATTTGATACCGTTTCGACAAACTTTGCTGCAATACCGCTCCCAAACTAAGGCGGCCAATCGCACTCCGTAACAAAGGTGTTCTAAAGGAAGGCCCAAATACCAGCCACCCGTTGAGGGAGAGCGATTATCCGCCTTAGATCAGACGCAGTGGCTGCCCAAAGTCAGCCCAAACGACGATTTCCACACATGTGATACCGTTTCGACAAACTTTGCTGCAATACCGCTCCCAAACTAAGGCGGCCAATCGCACTCCGTAACAAAGGCGTTCTAAAGGAAGGCCCAAATACCAGCCACCCGTTGAGGGAGAGCGATTATCCGCCTTAGATCAGACGCAGTGGCTGCCCAAAGTCAGCCCAAACGACGATTTCCACACATTGATACCGTTTCGACAAACTTTGCTGCAATACCGCTCCCAAACTAAGGCGGCCAATCGCACTCCGTAACAAAGGTGTTCTAAAGGAAGGCCCAAATACCAGCCACCCGTTGAGGGAGAGCGATTATCCGCCTTAGATCAGACGCAGTGGCTGCCCAAAGTCAGCTCAAACCACGATTTCTACCCATTTGACGCTGTTTCGACAAACTTTGCGGACTGCTTATTTCAAAATTAACAATAGTTTCAAAATTACCAAAAAATACTAATTTTACCGGGGACTGCGTAAAATACCGTATTTTACCGTAATTTATCATTCTTTACCGGTAATATTACTTGCTCTTACATCCCTACGAACGAAAATTTAAAAACAAATGAGAGGTGAGCGGTGGAAAGCGGGAGGTGGGGGAAGGGGAAGGGCACCTTGACCGTGACGGGCGCTGCGCTCACAGCACGTCGGCACGCTGGCATGGCGGCACCGATAAGGCACGACTCCAGACGGCATTAAGTCCGGCGAGTGACACGGAGTGACAGGCGACTGATTCCGCACTGTCTCGCTCGCTCTGACGAGGTCTGACGAGCGTGCCGCCACAGTGCGAGAAGGACAGAGCGACGATTGGGAATATGGCTGCAGGTGTGGTCACGCGGCCACGCCCAAGCCGGACAGCGGGAAGTATAAATGGCCGGGCGGGGTGGCAGTCCGCAGTCTCGTTCCGCACTCCAAAGCACCATGAGAGCCACCGTCGTCATCGTCCTCCTCAGCCTGTTGGTGGCAGGTCAGTTCGGAGGCCAACCACTATAAACATCATTTTTAACTGTGCAATTAAATTTTTTCGTTGAAACGGCTGTCACACAGTCTTCGGCAACCCCGCCGTGAGGCCCTGCCCCGACGTGTGCACCGCGGACTACGCCCCCGTGTGCGCGGTGCTCAGGGGCGTGTACAGGACCTTCAGCAACGAGTGCCAGCTCGCCATGACCATCTGCAAGAAGCGCCAGCGTGAGTACTCCATTTGCTGCTTTGTTTTCGCCAACTGTTGCCTTTGCTCTCGCATAACCGCCCTTCCGGTCCAGCCTGGAGAGTGGTGGCCAAGTGCGCTTGCGTCGACGAGAAGGGAGCCCCTCCCGGCAGCTACCGCCCCAGCGTCGGCAAGTAAGGCCCAGCGAGAACGTCATCAACAGCTCCACGAATCGTCGAGTGGCCAAGCCTGAAACATGTACTCCAACAAATAAAACAGCTATGATGCGACCAAGACATTCCATGTTTTACTAAAAAAAAACTCACAACCAGAAAATTTTACGGTTACAATTTTTCTCACTGTCGTTTGTACGTCTACGATAAAGAAGAAACGACTCGGGCAATATTGAATACTGTTAAAAGTAAAGAATTCTGCGAATTTTGTGTCGGTGCATTGAGGACGTCATCCCCAGTTGCGCCTGACGAGTAATGGGGTCATTATCACGGGGGCAGCGTGTCCAACAGGCGTACCAACCGCCGGACATGCCGCCCTCCCTCCGGCCGGCCGCGCCAGCCGCGCCAGCGGTCACTTCTGGTCGAATCGATGCGGCGTGCAGCGCCCTAAAAATTAAGTACATGGCGTAATGCGTGCCTGTGCGCATGTGTGCGCATACACGTCTGTTTGCTGCCGTGTGTGTACGGGGCACTGTGTAACGGGTGCAAACTACATGCCCCTTCATCGACTGCAGTTGGCACTGCCGTGACACGATTGCCCTGCTCACACAGGAACGCACACACAGTGCCACACCAACGCACGTGAAAACGCGCGCGCAAGGCACTTATTAATTTTCGAAGCGGCATAAAACACACATCGCACTGGATATTAAAAGTGGCGCTCCGATATGCAAATATTTGCGCCGTCTGTCGCGCCGCTGTTGTCCAGCCCGGATTTTGGCGCGCGAAATAAAGACGCCGCCATTTTGCCGCCATTTTGCCGCCTCTTCCCGCCCTTTCCGCGAGGTCGACGCCACACTATTATTTTGCGGCCGGGCTTCTTCCTTCGGGGACTGCTTCGCCTCACTTCGCCCTCCGACCTCCGACCACTTCTGATTAATGGCAAGACTTAATTAAAAGCGAGAGGGGATTAGATTTCCATTTCTGGCGTCGTGAACGGCCGCTGCCCTCCGAGGAGTGCACGGGGAGGAGGAGGAGGACGCGCGCGACGACGCCGCCCAGGTGAAGGAGGCCACCTCCACGAGTGGCTGGGTATTTGCGGGACGAAGTAGTTAAAAATGGTAAAATAATAATTGTAAAGCTGTGATTGGGGGAGCTCCCCCGCCCCTTGCTGCCGCCACGCGCCGCACCTGTGTCACCGCGGTGGCTGTTTGCCGAGCGTATCGGCACCTGGCGGCTGTGCGTGCAGTGTGCCGTCGGCGCTCCGTCTCTCTCGCACTCACGGGGCCGCCCCTCGGAGTGCGAGAGAGAGGCGCGCTGGCGGCGGCCCGCCGGAAAATGAAAAGTGAAAGTGGCGCGATGATAGCGGTGGCGGCGAGGCGACCCCTCTGTAGATAGCGCGCCGCCGGCCGGCCGGAAAAAGCGAAAAAAAAAGGCACCGCCGCTCTTGGTAGTCGAACCGGAGACTTTTCTTTCGGGGTGCACAGTGTACGTGACGCAGCTGGGGGCCCAGGGCAAGCGCAGGGCAAGCCCAGGGGTCACCTTTCAGGGAGCAAAGGACGGGAAAAGAATGCCCGGCAGAGTGGCCGCTGGAGGGCTTTCTGCGAGTTAGTGTTCACGGAGACAGACAGACAGACAGACAGACAGCAGGTAGGGCAGATAGGTGGGCCAAACGGACGGACGGACGGACGGAAGGCGGAGGCAGGGCGAGGCACAGCCCTGCAGCACGTCGACACTCACGGGACCTGCCTTTCCGAACTCTGACGGGCAACTCGGAGACTTTCGCCAAAGTTGGAGGGAGCAGCCAGCGAAGACCCCAGCCGCGCCCTTTCGGAGCCCTCTCGGAGCCCTTTGGGGGTCCTTTCGGGGTCCGCAGGGGACTTTATAAGTGCCGGACCACCAAACGCTGGAGGCTGCATGCACTTTTCAAAAGTATAAAGAAAAATAACGAAGAAAAAAAAATGTGACGGTCGGCAGGGATCGAACCCGCGCTTCCGGCAACAGTCGTCGATATGAGTGCTGGCGCTCCGGAAAGCTCCGGTTGGCCGCGGCGAGTTCCGCTGCAGTGCGGGAAAGAGAGAGCGGTTCGGCGAGGGGGAGGCCGCGCTGGACACTTTGAATTGAATTGACTGATACACATCATGACGGGGTGCAGCGCTGCGCGTCACGGGGTGCATCTCACTCTCACTCGATGACAGTGATACCATCGCCCGGCCGTCCTAGCCTCCCGTGGGAACCTGTGGGTGCGGCCCGCCACGCCACGCCACGCGGCCTGGCGCGCTGCAGGGCTGCAGGGATGCAGCAGGTTGCACCCAGTCAGTGCGGCCAGTGCATGGAGTCGCTGCGGTGTCGCGGCTCCACCATAAGCGGGCCCCCGGGGCATGCGCGCCGCGCCACGCCGCGCAAGGCACTAACTAGCCAGACAACAGCGCTGTTCCGAACATCGCTTTCGTCTCTCTCTCGCACTCATGGGGCGCTCCACGAGGGTGCGACTGAGACAGAGCGACCGAGCGCCGCCGGCCAGGGCCAACCCGGGCCAGCCCCCCGGGGACGCGCGGCCAACGGGGTGTGAGTAACGCTGAGGGGGACTTGAACCTGTTGAATAATGCGTCCGCCACACAGGCACTCACACACACACACACACATACATACACACACACACATACACATATACATACACACACACATACACTCACACGCATGGGATACTTATCGGTCCGATCACGCGCGCGCACCGCGTCGCGCTGTGGCACTGTCGCTCTCGCACACCTCTTGAACGCTTCCTTGCCACCCTCGCGCTCACTGCGCTCGCTCGGCTCGCTCGCGTGTCTCACCGCGTCAAGTGGGTGTAATATCCCCCTCGAAAAAGAGAGACTTCTTCTTCGCGCGACTGTATGGAATATTGGCCGCGCCGCCTTCTTTGCATTTGTCGAGGCGTTCCGGATATGCATACACGCGCCTGCAAGGAGTGAGGAAAATGAAACGACCAAAAGTATTTTTCTGACAAAAACGATAAATTGCTTCTTTTGGTAGACTCGTAGACTCAGTACGGCACAGTTCCAAAATTGCGAAAATTTTGAATTTTTGATCTGATTGTGACACTTGTCCTTCCTGGCATGTCCTCGTGGGAACGCCAGCCGGCGCGACTGAGTCGCCTCGCCGCCCCCCGTCGACTCAGTCAATCTGCCACTTGACGGCTCCACTGGTTTCCGACAAAGATCCCGTCGGGGCGCCGCGGCCCAGCCATGGCCTCCATGGCCCAGCGAACCGTGAGGTGCAACAACGCGCTGGGAAAGCTCGACCAGAGACAGACAGACAGGCAGGCAGGCAGACAGACAGACAGACAGACAGACAGACAGACGGACAGTCAGACAGCGCCATGGGAGGCCCCGGCACCCCGGCTTCATACTGTCGACTTAGTCCGTTCCGAGCCGGTGCGGCCCGGTGCGGCCGATCAGGGCAAAGGATTAACGGCACCACACTGCGAGGCGTGCGAGGCACTGTGCCAGACAGTGGAGGGAGAACAAAAGGACGACGTCCAGCAGTCCGCACTCGGCGCGCAGTCTGGGTCCAGCCAGAAGCAGCCAGAAGCGGGAAAAAGAAAAAAAACTGGAGAGGATAAGTTGTGGAGCACCGCCAGTGTCAGGCGGCACAACCGCGCACATGTGGCGCAGGCCGTCCCAGCCGCCCGGGGCGTCGCGGCGACGCTCGGTCCAGACAGTCCAGAGAGTCCGGCTGCACAGTGGCGACGGCCAACCGGGGGCCGCGCCGCGAAGGACACCGTGGACACCGTGGACACCGTGCCTAGCGCCTGGCGAGTAGGCCACGCGAGCGCACGGCTGCCGGAGGGCCCCGGAGGCTGCCTACCGCCACGGCGCGCTCGCTGCCCTTGCTGTTGACGTCAACGCCAACGATGCTGGACCACCAACGGTCGTGCTGCATGCCAGCGTCCAGCCGGTCCAGCCCAGCGCCGCTGGCCGCTCGTCCTTTTGCGGCGCGACTTTTAATCATTTTCATTATCTCCCCGATATCGGCGGGGCGCGCAGCAGAGAGAGCGAAAAAGAATAAAATAAATATGAAACGAGCGGGAGGGGAAAAGGGGAGGGAAGACGTCACTTTCATTGCGGTGGAGCAGCCCTTGCGGTGGGGCGGAGGGCGGCGTGGCCGGCGTGTGCGGACCAGTGGACGCCGCGGCCGGCCAGCCACCCCCACCCCCCACAGGCCCGCGGCGGGAGAGGCAGGGCCAGGCACGGCGCGCCTGTCCAGCTGTGTTGACACTCGAGGGCCGCGGCCTGCTTGGCCCTCGGCTTGGCCCTCGGCTTGGCCCTCGGCCTGCCACCACGCAGCGCGCACGCACCGCCACACTGGCCGCAGCACCGCGCAGCACGCCGCTACTTGAGCCAGTCCGTGCGAGGGCCGACGGCCCGAGGAACCCCCGCGTCGCCGCGGTGGATTTGCCAGAAGGCCGGTGGAAGCGGCCCAAATTCTAGACGCGTTTTGAGCTCCAGAGTCGCTAAATGGGACTCGAACCGAACGTGCGACCCCATCAATGGACAGCTCTCCGAACGACGAATCCAAGGGTGGGGACACACGTTCGGCTCGAGTCCTGTTTCGGGACTCTGGAGCTCAGAACGCGTTTGGGGTTTTGGCCGCCCCCAGTGCACCGCCGGGCCCACACTATAATTCTCCCCTACGACTTTCATAAAAAAGGGCACCGTGTTTGTATCGGCCGGCGTGACGTCAGCCCAGTGTCGACCCCCGTAGGGCCCGTAGGGCAGCCCAGGGCTGTGTGGCGTGGCGGGCAGGAAGGGCCCCGTCTTGGCTCTGGTTCAATTGGCCTGGTCTGCCGTGGCCAAACAGTCCTACCCTGTCCGCCACCAGCTGCCCGCGGCACTGGGGCCTGCCGGCCTCCCTTCCCCCGGCCGCGCAAACACACTCACACACACCCACGCACACACACACACACACGGCGCGTCTCGCTGGGATACGTGCGGATGCGGCCGGGACGAAACATCCCCCATGCTACGCCTACGCTACGCCTACGCTACGCTACGCCTACCACGCCTTTCACCCTACACTGCAGTAAAGCCTCGCCCACACGCATACACACATGCGCGGGCACACA